GCAAGAACATTTGAAAAACAACGGAACTAGTTTGGCAAGGACTGTCATGACAATGTTTTCTTCAAAACATTCAATGATCTAACAGAAAGTATTATTCACTCTCATCGACGATTAATTCATGTACGAAGATTTACCTCTGTTCATTAGGTAAACAGCGAGGAAAGTAATTGTGAGTAAATTCAAATTTTTTTATTTTGAAGTTGTGAGAGTTTGCTTGTTTGTTTGCTGCAATGGCGTGTGTAAATCTGGTTTTTCCACAAAAACTAAATTCGAATGACACACTCCAACGAGACACAATGGGATTTAATGCTGTCTTTTCTCAATAAATTCCTTCAGTTTCTGTTGTGCAATTTACGGTACAAATGTCCAAGTTGAACGGACTCGGAAAGACTCACCGAGAGCGTATATTTGTTGTAGAACTGAATTTAAAACTTCGCTTATTCTTTCACTACCCACAAATTGTTTGTAAATATTCAGATATTAAATGAATGAAAGTTCCATCGTTCAGTCTAGCTGTAACCAAATACCTCACATTTTAACTTTCTAGATACTTTTTGTGAACGATTAAAAGTAATTGCAGACCGTTTTTAGGCCTCTTGTAAACCAACGTAATGACGCTATTGCTTAAACAAATTCATTCTGAAACCAATATTTTTCTTTCAATCAAAGTGATTTCAGAGAGAGAAAAGAGAGGATTCATAAGTTATATATCGGCTTGAGGTAGTGACCGAAGTGTTTGCTTAAAAATACTGCCCAGCCGGTGAAACGAGATATATTTATGAAGAATGGCAACGACAGTTGGGATGTACTCGGCGACTCACGAAAGCGTTACCGTTGCCCGTGACCAGAGACAGGAGAATACTGACCGAGTAAAGAACCAATCAGATTGTAGGATTCGTTACCGTGCCTTTTAAAAAAATAATAAAGTCATTTATTAATTTTTCATAATCTTTGAGACACGAAAAACTCTCGACTAAATTTCAGCACTTTGAAAGCGACAAGTACTATTACAGACTTCACGATCACCTCTATCACCATTAAACATAGCGCAGCTTTATTTGCCATGGTTGATCTTTGACATTTCTTTTGTGCCCGACATTTTAGTATGTGATAGTCCTGTTCCAAGTCTATTAACACGGAACCATGTTTTTTCAAATCTATCGTTTAAATTCACCACCAGAAACTAAATCTTTAATACAGCGGCAGCCTTTCGTAGTTACGTTTGCTAGCTTTTTATGCAGTCTAACATGGGTTGTGCTCCGCACGAACATTAAATTTAGCATCTTATCTGGGTCTTGATTCTGGACTATTCCAGTCTTAATTCCTAGCCGCGTCTCAAATCTGGCAAGATTTTTATTGAGCCCGATGTTACGTCAATCCGTTAGTGCATTGCGAGAAGAAAGGGATGTTCACTCTTGAAAAAGTAAACAAGTTCCCTGAAAATTGTTTAGTCGCGCGAGTAACATCAGTTTTTTTTATCAGTTTACAAAAGTATATGTTAGCCAGCATTAGCGTCAGTGAAGACAGAAGGTCCCAGCCAGGTTTTCAGTTCTAGTTAGGATACGTGCGTCGATACGGTATCATACGCTCAATTGTCGGCTCAATAATTTTTTCGAATATAGCCTCGATCAACTGCCAATGTGTGATACGATGCTAGTTGACAAGAAGGAGTTAAATTAAGGATGGAGTGCTTGGATGAATCATGATAAAAATTTTCTCTTAAGTGGTACTAAACATATCCAAGCCTAAAACAACTCGACACAGCATAGACAATTCGGTCATACTGCAGCAGGACCGAACATACTCTTGGAATTGCTTGCTTTCAACTTTATTCCGTGTGTGAATTTAGTTTTCATGGTTAGATTGGGTGTATACCTTGAGAAATCAAGAAACCAATAAGGCAACTTGCTCTTGTTAATGGGTAGATAGATACAAAAATGCGAGGTTTAGAAGATTTTACTCAGGTGGGAGAAAGAATACATTTTTTTTCGCTCTATTGCTTTTCTGTGGGAGCATTACCGATTTGACCCTGCAACAGCCCATAAAAGTCGTTTCCTACGACACTAAAAGTGAGGCTGTATTGCAAGAAACGGTACCCTACTGCCCGCACTTTTGACATTTCACCTCACCTCGGCGAAGTATAACAACGAACTTCAGTTAATCAATTTTCCCAACGTTTTCTAACTCCATACTTGCTCTCGAAGAGTGTGTTTACAGCATTTTAGGAGCCGGGTACTTTTTAGGTATACAAGAGGTGTGTATTCAAGCGTTTCATTAGTGATAAGATGGGCTTTCTAATGTTTTAAATGATCTTTACGATTATAGGCCGGGAAGGTCGGAGGTCCTTATGATGGAATATACGTCAATCAACGGTTCGAAAATCTATTGGAGGACATTTTGGAAAGACAAGGGCTTCAAAGCTGCCAAAAGCAGTTTTCATCCGATTGGCTCTGTTTCATGAACGAATTTTAGGGGAAAAAACGGGGAAAACGAATCCTAAACAGTGGTTTGATGACTAATATCCGACCACCAAGAAGCTTCGTGACCCTGGTAAATGGAACCCGAAGTTCAGGGTTGGAACGCTATGAGGGGAAAGAAATAAAGCTGAAAATAATGAATATCTGTCGCTTAGTTCTGGGATGATGAAGGAGTTATCTTCTCCTGTCGTAGACAAAATCAGGGAACATTTGAAAACCCTTGTAAGAAAACCAGAGCTCTAAAAGGTAGGTACCACGCTGCTCGTCGGTGGATCGGCTGAAGCTGCATTCTTACAACAGGGAAAGAAGTTGGAGTTTTCGAAACGCAGTTTGACGATAAGGCACGCAGTGATCGAGTACCGGGCTATATTTACGTTAAAAATCATGTTTTTCATTAAAACTAAAATTTTAAACGTTTAATCTTCCTTAATTATAAGAATAAAAAACGGACGCCTGTGTGTCAGTAACACGCCATTTGTTTGCGAACTCTTGAATTACAACATAATTGCTTACACTGTTAATTGTTTGGTTGAGTAAAGAGACTCTTTCTGCACTGTCTTTTTGCGCAAGTAGATAGTTAAGAAAACAGACAGAAAGATCCTGTGCATGATTGCTTCCGGAACAGAGCAACCGGAACCGGAAACAGTTTAAAATTCCCCAAAGTCGAAAGGCATTCTAGGAAAAAGGGGAAATGATTTATTTACGTTATAACACATAAACATTTTCTCTGGTGTGAACGACGCGTACAATCCAACATAAAGATTCTTCATCATCTAAGGAACTATAAACTTGAAAGCAGTATGAGTGGTACGTATCGAAATCCTTATTTAATTTATAAAAGTAGACATTTACTGTTCGAAAGAAACGAAATAAGTGTTATATGATAATATCTGTAAATCATTCAACAGAAAGCTTTAATACTGGTTAAAGAGTTAACACTTTTTGGAATTACAACCGGGTCCAACTCTTCAAAGCATTCGATTATTAAAGGTTTATCTACTTCGTTACAAATATGTATCAATTATTGCTTACAAGAATCATCGAAAAAGACGTAAAAGCTACAGGAGTTTATAATGAGAATGAGATAAACATATCATGCCCGGAGGTGAATTACTTTCGGTTTCTGCAATCGAACGCCCCGGCTGTTGATGTAAGATCATACTGACTGGCCTGTTCACTTTCGAACTTGAAGAAAACATGCCATGTAAAAGGATTGAGAAGCAAGTGAAATTCGTCAAGAGAGATTTTGTTATCATCAAACTAGCGCAAAGAATTACAAGAGGAAGGAGTTTGGTCAGTTTGGAGAGCAATATCACCAGACTTGAGAGAAAGCCTGAAAATCTTGTCCGTTAATCAACAGATTTTTCAAAATAAATACAATATTACACAGTTTTTGGCTTCCGGAAAAAGAAAATGCATGTTTCTGTTCTGGCATGATGTAATTATTGATGTTAATTTCTCTCGTAGATGTTCTTGTTTCCTTTTTTCGAATTCACTAAGCAGCTACACCAGTCATTTTCTCTGCATAGAGGCGAGATCAAACGATTTTACTCTCAGCCTACCTTAAACCTGAATAAAGCCACTAAGCAATAAGGTTCACAAGGTAGACAAGGAAATACTCGCTTTTCTTAAGCTCATCCTTGCTCTTCAGCATCTGAAGGTTTGTTGTTCTCTGCAAGTTCATCGTACATAGCTGTGGTTGCTATTGATTTTGGGACCAGATACAGTGGTTTTGCTTTTGCTTTCAACCACAAGAAGGGAGAAGGAGGCATCCATATGAACAGAGCCTGGGGGCATGACCAGGGAACTGCTACTCTTAAAACACCTACCTCGCTGCTTCTTCACCCTGATGGTAGCTTTGATTCATTTGGATACGAAGCGGATGAAAAGTACGCCAACTTCCTTGATAGTGAAGATCGAGATTATCTTTACTTCAAACATTTCAAAATGGCACTACACAAGTCAGAAGTAATGCTCATTCATTCTTCATTTTTTCTTCCATTTGCTTTTTTTTTTTTGCCTCGCCTTTCAGAGACGGACTACCTACGACAAATAGTCACAAGAGGAAGGAAAAGATTAAATTACTGCCGATTGCCTCGACAAATACCTTAAAAGTAACAAGCAAGAGAATATGCGGTTGTCGAAGTGGAGCCCTGGCGATCAAATTGGACGGAAAAAACAACAACTGAAAACAATAGCACTTCATTGCAAAATGGTTATAATTAACCAAGTTAACAGTACTAGTGATTTCATCAGTCTGTACTCTTTACCTAACATCCACATCTAAGTTTGATAAGTGCGAACAGATCACAACATTTTTTAATTCTGTTAAAGGGTAATTGCATGAAAAACTAAAGGTCTCTCAGGGTCCTCAAGACTAAACTAAATAGTACGCATCGTTTCGGGTTTCGTATAAGTTTTGCACTGAAGTTAATTCGCATCAAAAATATTAGACATAATCTTTGTAAATTTACCTTCTCCTATCACAGACACTGGACAGAAATACAAAGCTGACGGCTCGAAATGGAAAAAAAAATTGATGCTTTAGTTGTTTTTGCCCATTCATTGAGGTATCTCAAAGATCGAGCTATCGAAATTATCCGCGAAAGAACTGGAGACGAAAAGTATCATGAAAAGGACACTCGGTGGGTCATAACAGTGCCTGCCATTTGGAGACCCGCTGCTAAGCAATTTATAAGAGAAGCCGCATGCAAGGTAATTATAGAGAAGTTACATAAGTTTGTTTTTCCCTCCTTACGATGAGTAAAGAGGTGAAAATGAAACAAGGAAAGGAAAATACAGGACGAGCTAGAATATAGGTCACTCTGATGTGACCGATATTCTATATTCTAAATATGATTACGTTATTATAAATGTGAGAAGTTTTATTTTTTTCTCCTCGGAAGTGTTAACAAAATGCAAGAAATTTAAGTTTGAGATTAATCAGTGTTGTCTTAACGAAACTTTTTGTCTTCAATAACTGTCTTTTTTTGCCTCTACTATGAAAGGCGGAGATGATATCGAATACTACTCCTGAATAGCTGCTTATTGCCTTGGAACCAGAAGCAGCCTCTATACACTGCAGAGAAATGAAGATGAGAGAATTCGCCAATGAGAAAGGGGATGCCACTATATCTGAAGTCTTTGCTCGACCTGGGTCAAAATACATTGTTATTGATATCGGAGGCAAGACTGAACTTTCAGAAAAATAGACCGTTTTGACGGTCACACTACAAAATATCAACACCTTTTCTTATTTTTAATTTGGAAACAGTACATTCTTCTCTAACTCATTTAAAAAATTTCCATCTGTTTGTAAAGACGCAGGGTTTTTTAGCAATATGTGATAAATTTGTAATGGTAATTGAACTGAGTAGAGAGGTGGGACATCGTCGTAACTCATTTGTTACTGACCAAAGCAAAAAGGCTAATAGCTTGTGGTGATAACCTTCTTTCTCAAACGGAGTCAAATGAAAACGACGCTGAAATTTTACGTATATTTGAAATATTCGTCGGCTAAGAACGGATCAGTTTATAGTCAATAATCTGAAAGGCTGACGAATTCGCGGGTAGGTAACAATGTTAATGACGCTAGGTCTTTCCTATAAAAAATAGAAAGAAGCACGAAGCCAAGGACAGCTGTTTTAGCTTTAGTAGGCTTCATCAACATCAAGCATTATCAGCTCAAATGTACTAAATGTGATCGATCGAGCTCGTAATGCGTTTTATGTTTGACTCGTGCAATATATATTAATGTAGGACTGAAGCTGTAAATTAACCGGTGTTACATCTGTTCTTCTTTAACAAAGGCGGGACTCTCGACGTCACAGCTCATGAAATCTCAACAAACGGGAACATCAAAGAAATCCATCAGGTGACCGGAGGACCTTATGGTGGAACTAATGTTGACGAGGAGTTCGTGTCTCTTCTTGAGAGGTTTTTCGGAACTTATCAAGTGAAAAGCTTCCGTGAAAACCACCCAGCAGAATGGCTGGAGATGATGAATGAATTTGAGATGAAGAAGCGAGGGCGCCGAGCTTACGAGGGTGAAACAACCAGAATTCGCCTTCCTCGTACCTTTACAGCACTGGTTTAAGAGCAAGGTTGGCCTGATCTGGCAAGACGATTTGCAAGTTCTTGTAGAACTGACGATGTCCAATTCGTCAGAAATGAATACTTCTATATAGGACCGGCGGCCATAATAAAATTGTTTGAACCGGTTCTGAATGGAATAGTGAAGCACTCGAACAACCTTCTTAAGCATCGTGAACTCTGTGGGCTTCAATTTTTCTTCCTTGTTGGAGGTTTCGCCGAGTCAGCGATACTTCAGGATGCAATAAAGAAGAACTTTGACCGGAGGTAAGGCAAATTTGACGGAAACGTTTAAACGGGTTGGAGTTTTGGACAGGAGAATCTTAACCTAGGTCGGGTTATCCTGACCAAACGCAATCAGATGTGATTCGACGTCGGAAGTCTTTCAGTACGAAGGGTCGTAGTCAAAGTACTAAGTTGCAAGCTATCCTAAAATTTATCAAATCAAAATGATAGTTTTGTAACCAAAAGAGATAATTTGCATGGCTAAAATGCAAGTGACTGCTCATGTAAAACATGACATGTAAAAATACTTTCATCTTTGATATTTTTCTCTATTCGCAGAAGCCGAATTTTAGTTCCAAACAACGCTAGCATTGCAGTTGTTCAAGGTGCGGTGATGTTTGGCCAAACACCTGACATTGTCGACTCCAGAATCATGTCTACGACTTACGGCTTCAAGATTAACCGCCCGTTTGATCCCAGTCTTCACCCAATTGACAAGCAACACTTCTTTGACGGCGTAGCCTATTGTAAAGATTGCTTTGAGGTTCTTGTTAAAGAGAATGGTATTGTGAGGACAGGTGAAAAGAGAGTCTTCCCTAATTACAGGCCAGTAAAGCGAAGTCAAACAGCAGTTGAGTTCAGTTTTTTAACCTCGACCGATCCTGACGCCAAATATTCAACAGACGCTTCAGTTAGCAACTCCATAAGAGAGGCTGTCGTCGAATCACCTGATGTTACGAAAGGAACCAATCGAATGATTGACTTGGCTATAGAGTTTGGTGGAACTGAGATTAAAGCTACTGCGATAGACAAAAGCAGTGGGAACACTGCCACAGTTTATCTCGACTTCCTGTTTAGTAAGGATTAAAAACCACCAATAATCGCCTGAAAAGACTTGAATTCCCCGAGTGAATATATGTGATAACCTGTCTGCGTTTCAGGGACAATAACTTCGTTTGTTATCATTGGATCAAAAAGAACTGATTTGTCCCTAAAATTGTTGTAAACCTCTACTTCAGTCTCCTTGTGTATATCCCATCATGAACAACTCCAGTATCGAAGCTAACCCTGACATTTTGAGGCATCTTTGAACCTTATTATATAATTGAAACACCAGATTGCTAGAAATCCTATAATACTAAGGCCCGGTAGAGTGTGAGGATATCCACTGAATTACAAATTCTTGATTTCGTAGAAAGGAGTGAGACTAAAAACTCGAGCAAAACTACATTTAAGTTTAAGTTTTGACGTGTTCTTGTAACAAACTGAAATAAATATTAAACATTTGGCTTCACCAGTCAGTCAACAATTGGCATTGTCACTGCGTGCGAGATTTTTTTAGGCTCTTATCAAGTGCATTTGGATCTTGATCTGTAATCTTCGCTCAATTTGATACTCGCTTATTATTGTGAAATAGAATGATTCCCATTCTCACTTTCATTTGCATTAAAATGTCTCATACAGTGATGTAATCTTGTACAAATAGGGGAAAAAAACTAGAAGTTCATATCATGTGTTATTGCGAAATAATAATAATAATAATTAAGGGAAAATAAAGAGATGTGAATAATGTAAGAAATGTATTGTAATTGCCAGTGGCGTAAGTGAACAGTATTGTAAATACTGTAAATAATGTATGTAATTAGCCGTAAGTGATATGGTGTATTGTAATTAGTTATAATTATTGTAAAATTTATTAGTATTATTATTAACAAAAAAAAAATTCTCACTTTCATTTGGTCGATAGTTTGCCAGACTATAATTCTAATTTCGTGCTTTTTGACAATAGGAAATAGTAACAGACCTGTCCATCTCTCAAACAAAAAAGTCTGGTATCTACCTGTGGTTGAATCGTTCACAAAGTAATTAGTTTGTCAGCTATCCATAGAGTGTCATAAGGGCTCCTATTCTTGTTATGATCCGCAGATGTACTTGAATTACAATAACCTTTTTATCATTATTAAGTATTAAACACTTCAGTAGATTTAAGTGTCTATGAACTTTAATTAGTTTTATTTAAAAAGCAACACATGTCTTTATGGACACCAGAGAAACCAGCAATTAGTACAAAATTCTACAATTTGCTTGCCGACATTCCTCTCGAGAACGCAGAACTAGTAAACTTTGTCCACAAACTAAGCCCCATTTCAACACGTAAGTCCCACATTACCTCCAGCATCACGCCTCACGTCAAAACTTTTAGGCAAGGGTAAAATGATGATCTACTAGCCGTCAGTTAAATGAGACTGATATATTGGAGATGAATTAATGCCCATTTTTCTGCTCAATACATGTAAAAGTCTATACATGTTTACACTGGGGACTCCAAAACGAAAGAACTATCGGATTTTGAGCTACAATTTCGATTGATTTATCCAATTCTGCCACGGTTTAAAGAAAATTATTTCCGCCAAAGATGAGGCAAATGTTACATATTATATGATACGGTTACATTTTCCATCACACCTTTCATGCCTCCTTCCAATGACATTCCAAGTGAGAAAAAATTAAATCAAAAATAATTTCATTAACATTTTAAAACAATTTCGAAAAAGGAAATGCACTGCTTTTGTCCTTTTCGATAAATATTTGGAGGGTAAAAAATAAAGCCCCGTTTTTCTGCTAATCAGTGTCAAATATTTAACCTTGATACAGCAATTTCTATTCAGCTTCTATATCACTTCAGCTTCCACTTTACAAGGACTTCTCCATGTCGGATGACTCGTCCTCCTCCGTCTAAGAGTGCAGGCCACAAATAACAAGCAACCTCATAATCGGCCGCGCCTTGTCCATTTGGAGGGGGCATTGAATACATCTCTGAACCACTGTGGTATCCCACCATCCGATGGAAATTTTTTAAAGTGGTACACTTATACTCCAGTTGCATGGGTGGAACCTGCACAACCATCCGCCAAGCTAACCGTAGGCACGCCTGAACGTAGTCCTTGAGATGAAAAAGCAAACGATCGGAGAAGGAGAAGTGGCACGATTTTTCGCTATGAAGCCATGATATCCACTTCTCCGTGATTTTTCGTCGAACACCCTGAAAAAGACGTGATATTATGTAAACCAGAATTTAACGAGTGATATCAAATTCTTTTTTTTTTTTTGGCAGTATAAACTCTTCCCCTTTTAAAGTAAATATTTTGATATTATGTAAACCAGAATTTAACGGGTGACATTAAATTCTGTTTTTTTTTTTTTCGGCAGTATAAATTCTTCCCCGTTAAAAGTAAAAAACATGGAATCATGTTTTGCAATTCGTTGAAAATGTATTTTTTCCGGGTATTAGAAAAGTTGCGCATGCATGTAAAAAATACACTCAATGAGGTACTCAGTAGTGTTGTGTGGCGCCTTAACCACACAATGACGTGACTTCCTCAGTTAATACTCAGTAAGAACTAAGGAATTGACAAATCAATCCTTAGCATCAAACCTTTATCTCCTTATAGTTCATAAGTGCTTTACGAGTCTGAGGGGAAAGCATCTAAGGTTTCAAACAATTGCAACACAATGAAAATCAATTGTAAGGGTTTCCTCGAAAGTCCACTTTTTGCAGGTGAATACTAGCCTAAATGCAAACCCGGGTGGCCTCTTCGACGGCATCCTCTTATCGCGTACCCTTAGAGTACGCACGCTCCTGACCATTGCATTTGACATCGGATACATTGAAATTGAATGGAATACTCGTAGAATAAACTTTGTGCTGATGAAAAAGGAAAGCATCCAAGAAATATTCTTCGTGAAACATTTTAAGACAGGATTCCCCTTCACTTTCTAATGACAAACTGATGGTCACGACAAAAAATACACGACGGAAATTCCCCTGTTTTGAATTCTTGCGTCCCCAAAGCCGAAAACTGCTTTGAAAGTTATTTTAAGATGAGAAACCTTTTTGTTGTTGCTATAGAAGATGGTGAGTAGAGAGGACGAGAAAACACTAAAATTCAACATTCCACCTAAGCTATTCGTTTTGCGCGATTGAAACGGTTAATTTGAATATTAAAACAACCGAGCACAAAAACAATCAGCTCCCTGTCTACATGCACAATGCTTTCGAGAATATCAATAATTACAAAAAAATTTCAAGTAACTGAAAACTTATTTACAAAATTGAGTTCCAGCTGAACGTAAAAGTAAAAGTTCGAGTCCATTATTATCCTTAATAATTACTATCGAAATAGAGCCAACGCTACCTATTTTGCACTCAGCTATTTGCTATGAGGGCCATTTGTTTCCTTTGAACTTTCTTCTTGACCTGTACAGTCATATGCTATGGGATAACTTTAGAAAAATGCATTTGAGTCGGTAGAACTATTGTAAGTATAACAAAAATTAATAATTTCCAGTAAGCATGAACGTTTGGGAGAAGTCGTGGTGGTAATTGACCCTTTCTTTGCTAGGATGCGTAGGGTGTGATGATTGTAAATTGTATATTTTGGTTTCAAACTTCCAACTTAATTGTAACTGTTTGCCATATCTATTTCTGTCGTTTCTTTCAATTTTGGCTCAATTTCCCAAACCGAAATTATAAGTCACGCTTAATAGAATATAATTTCAACTGATGCTGACATCATGCTCTTCATCTGAAGAAGAAAACATTCCCTATCTTCGAAAATTTGCTCAAAACATCAGGAACAACAACGAAGGTCCTAAACTGTTTGAAGATACCGCTGACTAGAATGTATGTATATAATCGCCTTCTAATTAAGTTTTTGCTCTCACAAGCATGTCTTTAAAGGATTTTCCCTTTTTGAAAGAGATAATAGGAGGCTTAGTAAAAATTGAACGGGAACTGAAAGCAGTTTACTATATAGCTATTACTAACATACCTCTTTTATGGACTCAAGGCTGCAAAGGTGCGCAGTTTCTTTCAGGGAAAGCATGAGAGTATCTAGAACCTCGGTCGGGTACTTCAATTCCTGGCTGCATGTTGGTATTTTGAAAGTGACTCCATGTGACGATAGCTCGGACTTGATCAACACATGACAGAGTAAAAAAGATGAGAAATAAACCGAAAATTGTAAAGCTTAAGCAAAATATTTTGTTTCACTTAGTAATAAACGTTGGTTGTGGTTCTCAATAACCCATCTTTGGATATTCGTGCGATTCTATCAGCTACCTTACGTCAGGTGGTGCAAAATCACCGGACAGTTATTGAGCAATAACCGCCTCTCTCTGTCGATACTTGTTCCCCGATTATCTCCCTCCCTCTTAAACAGACAAAGTAAGCGGAAAAAACCAGCTCAAGAGTTTCACTGTTTCATATTTATTACTTTAAATGGAAGAAAACCCGATTTTGTTTTGTAGAGTCCAGTGATACGAAAAAGATGACTTAAAATGCTGCTCTGAAAGGTACAAAAAAAGTAAATAAAATTTGTTGTCCACGCTGGATGCCAAAATTAATGTGAGGGTTATGAAATTAATAAACACCATTCAGACTTCCTGATATGTCAGCTGACAGCTCCCTTGGCTGAGAGATTGTCCTCAAAATTTCACATCTGCCCTCGATGCTTCGCTTCTTGGCCAAGTATTCATTTTTTGGACAATATCTCAGCTGCGGATGTTCAAGGGTTTTTTTTAAATAAACATTTTGAAAGCAAGACTCAGCTAAGGTACTAGGTAATCCAGTTCTCATTTATCATTTGAGAAATAAACCTAACGTTGATTTTTCCTTCAGCAGCGAAATCGCACGAACGCGAATGCATTTCGAAGTTTATTGGCACAAGGGTTTTTTTTTTAAGTTTTGGTAATAATATTGCAACACCAGTCGAAGCCTGAAAAGCACTGATCCAGACATCAATATTAACCAGAAATCACGAAACGCGCGAGCAGTTCAAACGATATAATTATTTATTATCAGATTCTGGCACAAAAGTCTTCCAAGACTTTCGTGTAACTCATTTAGTAGTGAAATGAAAGAGTCAAATTTTAGGAACAAAAGACAATTTTAACAACAACGCCGAATTTTCAAAACTATTGGATCACTGTTTCAGTCTTACCACGACAGTAGTTCTCGATAAAGGCACTCCAAATCATTCATTTTAGATTTGGTTCTCTATCATTTACCAAAATTAGGTACTCATTTAATCTGACAAGGAACACGAGTTATGATCATAATCTCAGATTGGCGAGATAAAGCTAGTTTTGCCAGCTTTAGTGTAAGATTTACTGTATACCTTTTCCGAACGCAAGTAAGCTTCTCCCAGTTCCGCAGCTTCTTTAATCATTTCATTGATTGTTTCTCTGAAAACATGCAGTGCTGAGTCCTTTGCCTCTGTCGTCTTTTCGTAGGCCGCCTTTCAGGAAGAAATTTCACAAGTGTTACAAGAGGTTCGATTGAAAGGGTTAAGACAGTAACCAGCCATAATCGGTAATGTTAAAAATATTACAACCTTCCAGCTGTCGGAAAAAAGAGAACAAAATAAATATTTTCTCGATTTTTCTCACCTCAAATATCATGCAGGCTAGTCGAGGGTAAGAGATACCAATGTCAATGTCTTCATCAGATCCATAAACGCTTTGCATTTTTTCTATCGCGTCCATTCTTTCGTTGTCAAAAAAATATGAGAATTCTTTTTCCACTTCCGAGCGCCTATTTACTGCAGCCGTGTCTTCCATGTTCCTCTGATCCTTTTCTACCAGATTTTTACTGAGAAGCATCAGTCTTGGGAAAAAGCAAAGTAGGAAAAGTGAACCAATTCTCATTGCCTCTGCATCGTCAAATAGCCAACTTCGAAGTAAACAAGCAGATTTACTTCGAAGTTGTAGTAAAATATTATCAAATTCTAAATTATCCTCTTTTATCATTACAAAAATCTAAAATTTAAAATTTAACTCTGAAAAATAAAGAGATCCGATCAAACGGATTGTGGTTTTAGGTACCTGAATGTCTTACAACACACAAGAAATGAGCGAAATTCGTGTATCAAGCAAAATCGACCGGACCGCTCTTACAGACACTCTCTTAATGGTCTTTCTGGAATAATTGGTTCTCATGGTAGTTGGCAGCTGAGTTTATACTCGTAATTTTAATTTTCCTTCATACGATAGATTTCCACACCAACCTTGCATAGATAAGCAGAAACTTTTAATGACTTTTCCACTTTTATTTCCTAAGCTGTTCAACTGTAGGTAAGATAGGTATTTATTGTTTTTTTAGAGGGCACGGTAACGAATCTTGCAATCTGATTGGTTCTTTACCCGGTCAGTATTTTCCTATCTCTGCCCACGGGCCACGGTAACGCTTTCGTGAGTCGCCGAGTACATCCCAGCTTTCGTTGTCATTTTTCATAAATATAACTCGTTTTCCGGCTGGGCAGTATTTTTAAGCAAACACGTCGGTCACTACCTCAAGCCGATAAATAACTTATGAATCCTCTCTTTTCTCTCTATCAAATCACTTTGGTTGACAGAAAAATATTGGTTTCAGAATGAATTTGTATAAACAATAGTGTCATTACGTTGGTTGACAAGCGGCCTAAAAACCGTCTGCAATTAATTTTAATCATTCACAAAAAGTACCCAGAAAGTTGAAACGTGAGGTATTTGGTTACAGTTAAACTGAACGATGGAACTTTCATTCATTTAATATCTGAAGTTTCTCGAGCAATTTGTTCATAGTGAAAGAGCAAGCGAAGTTTTAATTTAAGTTCTACAACAAATATACGCTCCTGGTGAGTCTTTCCAATTCCGTTCAATTTGGACATTTGTACCTTAAATTGCACAACAGAAATTGAAGGAATTTTTTGAGAAAAGGCCGCATTACATTCCCTTGTGTCTCGTTGGAGTGTGCCGTTCGAATTTAGTTTTTGTGAAGGAAAGATCAGAGTTAAACACGCCATTACAGCAAACAAACGAGCAAACTCTCACAACTTCAAAATAAAAAAATTGAATTTACTCACAATTGCTTTCATCGCCGTTTACTTAATGAACAGAGGTAAATCTTCGTACATGAATGAATGGTCGATGAGAGTGAATAATACTTTCCGTTAGATCATTAAGGCCTAGTTCAAACGTCGATCTTTACATGTACCGAACCTAACGTTTCTAAAGTACATGTAAAGATCGACGTTTGAATCAATTAGGATCGGCAGATTTGTATTCGGATCGACAGTGCCGTTCTATCCGACTCGGCTAGTCGGATAGAACGGTAAAAGATCGGCATTGATTCATACGTCGTACTTTACATGTACCGAACTTAATGCATACATTATACATACGTTAAAATAATTATGTTTTACCCACAATTCAAGAAAGTTCGCTTACGTGCCATGCCCGAAAGCCTTCGAACCATTCAAACAATATGGCGGGAAAGGAGGAAGGCTCGTGCTCCTCTTGTTTTAAAACCACAAAATATACCTGTCTTACGTGTAAGGAGTACTTTTGTATGCCATGTGTGGTGTTTGAATAATAGAAGGCAAGCCAAATTCAAAACTCGTCTTCTCCTGGCAGCAAGGTTGTTTAATGCTAACTGCATCTTGAGTCGCCTTTTTCTACCCTCCTTAATCGCATTTGCAAGAAAAACAAGCTCTTCATTTCCACAAGTTGTGCTTCCCGCATTTTTTTCCGCCATTTTGGTAGGCATTAACCGCTGACTACAATGGAGTTATGTTCAGTTTTGTAATTAGGATCGACTAAATTCGGATCGACGTTTGAATCAACTGCCGCTCTTAATTATTCGAGTCGACCCAAATTGCAATTAGGTTCGGTACATGTAAAGATCGACGTTTGAACTAGGCCTAACTGATTTTGAAGAAAACATTGTCGTGACAGTCCTTACCAAACTAGTTGGTTTTCAAATGTTCCTACGCTTTTTTTTTTCTTGGGCGCTCTCTAATTGACAGGTGTCAGATTGTGACAGATACTTCTGAAAATAATGTTTCAAAGTTTGTTTGGAAGCCTTTTAAATCACCTTTATCGTTACGGAAATGAAAATGTTTCGCTGAGGCATCTCTCTTAAATTTGCATCACCTCTATTTTAACTACCATTTACTCACTCAAAAATTGTTCAGTTTATAGAAGATCTTGCCGTATTTACGGCCATAAATCATTCGGGTTCTTTCGGAAAGAATTTCGTCAAGTTTAAAAACAATAAATATGTTATTTACCGGCTAAGGGTCGGTCCGTATGGTGAAAAACTGTGACCTCGGTCACAGTTTTTCACCATACAGACCTCCCAGCCGGCAAATAAAATATATATATTCTATACCAGAGCTGTGAATTCTTACCTAAGATTCCTATTTTTAATGGCCACGAGTTTATTGTATCCGTCCTTTTAATTTTGTAATTATTTTTGTCGTAGAAACAGATGGAATATTTAAGTAAAACGCTGTCTCATCCTTGACGTCCGTATAAGCTCGCTCGAAGTAGATCTCCGTGTGAGAGTGGTCTCTACCGAGTTAATTTCTCCCGTTTCGTACGTTCCAGCGAAGTCCAGTTTAGTGCGCGAAAACGTATCGACACACTATTCAAGAAATTGAAAGTAGTACCAGAAGCTTACCTACTGGTTTAAATTATCAGTCTTTGCTCTCTCCACGCAACTTGCCTCAACTTAATTAATTATTACTTTACTTTACTTTATATTATTATTACTTTATATGTCTTTATACACACCTCTCCACGCTAACCCTAACTCAAACCCTAACTTTAAGCAATTCTCGATCATCTTTTGAGGCTTAGGGGTAGTTTGATCAAAAGTAAGTCTTCAAATTTTGATGAAATTCGTCGCATCATTGACCATAACTGATGATATTTCCGAGACTCATGATTCAAAAAAAGGTTTCTTTACTCTGTTATAATCTATAATTATTCCTCCATTTCTGACAAGGTCTCCTTTGATTTGACGAACATATCTCGAGTAGAAACTGTATCTTACTTAGGAGATGAACTTTCTTCGTTTTTCTCACGAGTCACTTGTGATGTAGATCGCTAGTGGGTTTTTAACACCCAATAATGTTGGACTTAAACTCAAGTAAAAAAATTATTCGTCGTAAGTAAGCTACAATTATTGAAATTGAAGAAAAGAAGCTTAATTGAGTGCTGCTAATTGTGTGCTGCTAGCAAAAAACTGCATCTGAGAGTATTGCAAATTTTGAAATGTTCTTTGTTCCCGTGAAAGAATCTGATCAAAATCAAAGTTGGATAGGAGATCACAGATCGCCATATAATATTTACCCATAATCACAATCATTTTAAGGCCACATAATGTTTTCGAGGATCAACAAGTTCTACTAGATATATAGTAACTGCAAGTCTATTGACTAATAAGGTTATTAGCACCAAACAGATGTACATAAATGTGTCTGATTTCGGAAAGTACGTTAAGTCTGGAACGTGATTAAAAGTGTAAAATAAATTCAGAGAGATGATGCTTGGTGGAAGGCCCATATGAAGGATTTTAGTCCATTACGTTCATACTCTTTGCCGTTAAGATTAGAATCGTTGCTCCTGTATTGTCTCAAATTTTATTTATAGCAGTGAGACGTTATGAAAATACAGTGAAATGTAAATAAAAAATTAAATCACATGATTTTAGAATTTACCTCTCCTCTCGCTCTTTAATTTTGTCCTTTGCCTCTTTTTCCTTCTTCTTCAATTCTTCTTTGAGTTTCAGACTCCTAAGAAAAGAAAGAGCTTATTCATATACCGTACAATTATTATTAAGACCAACTTAAATCGCTTTCTTCACATTGACTATGAAAAATGGGTCGTATGTGACACAGTTCAAAGAAATAACAAGAAAACTAAACCAGTGAGCAGCACTCTGCGAATAGTTGTCGTAAAACTTGCCTAAATTTTAATTTCGACGCAATTTATTGAATTGTCAGACTTCTCCGGGGAGTAAACGCCTGTATTCTTAAAGGTCCTGAAACAAGCGTGAGAGCGATTTTTATGAAATTGTTTGGCTAACACACAACGCTCATACCTTTCCTTAACACCCAGATAAGGTTAATAGAAACGAATAGTTCGCAATGATTGGCGAAATCTGAGCATCTGAATGTCTTTTAGTGGGGAAACAAAAGCGCGTACAAAAGCCTAGAAATGCTACAAAGTAAGAATGTCACGCCACCTTCAATTACGCTCTGCTCACGTGAAACGGCAGTCATGTGACCCCAGAGAAACACAATAGAACGAGTGCTGCAGGAGCAAGAGTGCCAGCCATAAATCAATGTTTGTCTAAAGTGCACAGTAATTTTGCGTGGACATTAAACGGAGTCCTTCTCTTGTATTAACATTCATGGGGTGAGCACGGCATCTTCAAACAAGTTGAGTTATAATTTGTCTATTAACTTACATCTGAGTATATTTCGCGATTTCCTCCTCCTTTTCCCTAAGAAGAGTGTCATTTCTGTGAAAAGAGATTCAAAACTAAAACAACTCACTCTGATCCCGTGTGTTTTTGTACCCACCATTGTTCCCATTTAGTTGCCTACCAAAAATTTAACCTTTCTGTACTATCAGAATTAATTCTAAGCACACAAAATACACACCGACGAGATTCTCAGCAACCAAATTACATATTTCCAACCGGAAACAGTCAAAATTTCTCTTTGGATGTTTTAGCTGAATACAGACTCTTGAAAAAAATAGATGGCTCTGATTGTTTGCCCCTGGAGCATTAGATATTTTGAAATGATCAGCATTCAACAGTAATCACTTCACTTAGTGCATGCCTTTACTAATGATCTGCAAAATCCTTGTTGTAGTCCTCATACATTTTCTGTTATAGACACTTTTGTACAATAGCCTTTAACATCAGTCAAGGAATGATTGAAATCCTGTTTTCAGGCGTGAAATCTGATGTCAGATCCCCTCAAAATAGACTCAACACAAATTGACCTCAAACGCGTCAAGATTTTTCGGTTGACGACTACAGCTTCGTCGAAGAAATTGTCATAAGAACCCTGTTCAACTCTAGATATACCGGTTGAGTAAAATCGATTTTGATGCGTAAAAAATGTACATTAACAAAAAAGGAAGCCAGAACTGCACTGTTTATTCCGAGCCGATTCAACTGATTCGATCAGGCAGTTGATAAAGACTTACTTTTTTTTCATTGTCTGTATTTCACTTAACAATTTATCGACTTCCTTCTGATGTTCATTTGTCAGGCCTTCGGTTCTAGCAATAAAGAATTAAAGAACTCATTTTCGATAAAAAGTCACTCACTAATAACGATTTAACCAAAGAAGACATAAACAGATCAATCAACTTTATAGATACAGTATTTATTTGCTGTCTAAGAATCGTCATTTGTGGGTAAATTATTCACATAAAAAAAATTACCAATGACTCTTAAACTATCCCCTCATCATGGTAAATCCCTTCTTCTACAGTAAGTGTTCAGTCCTAAATTATTAGCTCGTCTCTTATGGAAAGGGCTTCAAAGTCACCCTGAATTTACGAAATGTTCAAAATCCCGCCAACAAGGTTTAGCTTCTGGCTAGCACTCACTTTTCCTATTCTTCTCTCGCTATTTCTACAATCTGCCTTTCTTTCTTCTCCTGTTCACTTTCGAGTCTCGCGATTCTGACGATAAGCAAACTTGATAAGTCGAGTCAAGAAAAAGCACTAAACGAAAAGGATTTCAGGGAAAATCAATCTGCAAATGACAAAGTTAAGTCTTATATCGTAGTAAACATTATTGTCATTCATTAAAACAGCGTCAGTGGAGTATTATCTTTTGCCTCACAACGGAATTACTTCCCAAGTGAATCGTGACGTTTCGGTCGAAAGATTGACTGGTTCACCTAAGTAAAGATAACGCTCCGTCGAAACTTGTTGAGCAGAGAAGCATTTTGTCCGCGCATGCTCGAGATAAATTAAAAATTTTGCCCGTTTGGCGCCATTCTGATGTTTTCAGCGCGCTTTTGCAGGTTTTCAACTAGGCTATTGCCACCTTTTTCAAACAATTTCTGAAGAGGGATGAAAGAATATGCCAGGTTATTTACCACCATTTCTAACTCTGTGGATACTCATGGTGGAATGATTAGCCTAATCGAGCGCCTGAATGTCTTTTAGTTGTGAAAGAAACGTGTACAAAAGCCTAGAAATGCCACAAACTAAGAATGTCACGCCACCTTCAATTACGCTCTGCTCACGTGAAACGGTGGTCATGTGACCCCACAGATACACATTAGAACGAGTGCTGCTGGGGCGAGAATTCCAGCCATAAATCAATGTTAGTCTTAATTGCACAGTGATTTTGCGTGAACGTTGAACAGTCTTTCTCTTGTATTAAGATTCGTGAGGTGAGCACTGCATCTACAAACTAGGTGAGTTACATTTTGCTTATCAACTTACATCTGAGTGTATTTCGCGATTTCCTCCTCCCTCTTTGCGAGTTCCTTAAGAAGAGTGTCATTTCTGTGAAAAAAATATTCAAAAGTAGAACAAATCACTCCAATCTCGTGTGTTTTTGTAAATTTTAACGGTACATATAGTAACCCTCTCAAATGGGCAGGAGCTCAGGTGTACCAGAAATCTAGGTTTTCTGTATTACCAGAACGAATTCTATGCGCACAAAATACACACTGGCGAGATTTCTCCGCAACCCCAATTACACATTTCCACCGAAACAATAAAAATTTTTCTTTCAATGTTTTAGCTGAATACAGACTCTTGAAAAAAATTAAAGGCTCTGATTATTTGTCTATGGAGCAATAAATATTTTAAAATGATCAGTACTCAACAGTACTCATTTCGCTTTGTCCATTCAAACCTGGATTTATGATCTGCAAGATTCTTGTTGTAGTCCTCATACATTTTTTGGATATAGTCACTTTTCTTCAATAACCTTAAAGATAAGACAAAGAATGAGAGAAATCCTTTTTGTTGGCGTGAAATCTCATATAAGATCCGCTTTAAACAGACTCAACACAAATTGACCTCAAACGCGTCAAGATTTTGCAGTGGACGACGTCGAAGAGAATTGTCATCAAGAACCCTGTCCAACTCTAGAGATACCCATTAAGAAAAAAATTAATAAAAACGGTAGCTAGAACTAGAATACAAGACTCAATTTTTGTTTATTTCAAGCCGATTCTACTGATTCAGACAGTTGATATAGACTTACTTTTCTTTCATTGTCTGTATTTCGCGTAAAAATTTATCGACCTCTTTCTGATGTTCATTTGTCAGACCTTCAGTTCTAGCAATAAAGAATTAAAGATCTCATTTTAGATAAAAAATTAATCACTTATAACGAGGTAACCAGCGAAGACATAAACAGGCTAATCAACTTCATAAATACAGTATTTATCTGCTGTTGAAGAATCACCACCATCATTTGTAGGTGAATTATTTACCATCCCTTCATCACGGAAAATCGTCCCCTGTGCTGTAAGTGCTTAGTCTTAAATTATTAGCTCGTCTCTCCTAGAAAGGGCTTTAGAGTCACCCTGAATTTTTTATATGTTCAAAATCCTGCCAACAAGGTTAAGCGTCTAGTTAGCACTCACTTTTCCTTTTCTTCTCTCGCTATTTCTACAATCTGCCTTTCCTTCTTCTCCTGTTCACCTTCGAGTCTCGTGATTCTGAAGATAAGCAAACTTGATAAGTCAAGTCAAAGAAAAGCACTAAACGAGAAGGAATTCATGGAAAAGCTATCATCAGCTTAAACTCAATCTGCAATTTGCGAACCAAAATCTTTCGCTAATATCGTAATAAATGTAATTGTCATTCATTAAAACAACATAATTGGAGTACTATCTTTTGCCACGCGAATCGTGTCGTTTCGGTCCAGTGATTGACTGGTTCGGTGTCATCTAAGGGGGGATAAAGCTCCACTGTGACTGGTTGAGCAGAGAGGCCTTTTATCTACGCATGCGCGAGATTAATTTAAATTTTGTCCCTTCGGCGCCATTGTGTTTTCAGCGTGCTTCCGCGGGTTTTCAACTAGGCTATGGCCACCTTCTTCTCATAATTTTTCAAGAGGGATGAGAGAATATGCCAAGTTTACCACCATTTCTAACTCTGTAGATACTCATGGTGTTTGCTGGCTCTTCGGATGAGGATGCTTTTGTGGACAAAGTGCTACGGTGGCCCACAACTGTCACGGCAAAACAAAGAAAACGAGTTGGTCAGCGGTTGGTCAGCGGTTGTTATTTGCATCTGAAATGGTATGTCGTGTAACAGTAACAGTAACAGTAACAGTAACAGTAACAGTAACAGTAACAGTAACAGTAACAGTAACACACTAGTCGCTCGAAAAACCGCCGTTTTTCGAGTTTGCTCACAGAGCACTTTGATTCGAGCTCACGATGTTTTGCACCGCGTGTGGTTCGGTAGTAGATAAAGATGCAAACTTTTGTAAAAGCTGTGGTAGAGGTACGTTTCTTAATTTAAAGTGTTCGTATTTGCATTTCTTTTAGTTCCAAATAACGATAGGCTTGAGAGAAAACTGCTTCAAATTAGCTGATTAGCATGTTTCTGGAGTCAGATTGTGCATGTGGCCTGTGTGTAAAAAGAAAATATTCATAATGTATAGGCCTTGATGAAACAAGGATTTTTCAACAGGTGAAAAAATACTGTACGCCTGCAAACAGTCAGAGAGCACGAGATTAAAGGCCAAAACATTCCTGATTATTTCCAAAATCTTTTATCTTGAGTTTTATTGATGTTAAACAGACTTATGGAAATAACACTATTTAAAGTAAAGTTTCCTCTGAGGTGTAAGCTACATTATTTTGCTTCATTATTTTTTTTCCACCTGTTGAAAAATCCTTAATTCATCAAGGCACATACATTATGAATGTTTTCTTTTTACACACAGGCCACATGCACAATCTGACTCCAGAAACATGCTAATCAGCTAATTTGAAGCAGTTTTCTCTCAAGCCTATCGTTATTTGGAACTAAAAGAAATGCAAATACGAACACTTTAAATTAAGAAACGTACCTCTACCACAGCTTTTACAAAAGTTTGCATCTTTATCTACTACCGAACCACACGCGGAGCAAAACATCGTGAGCTCGAATCAAATTGCTCTGTGAGCAAACTCGCGAATTGACAGATGACTTAAATGATTTTTTGGATTATGTTTAATGTTTTCTGGTTTAGGGAATTTTGTGGTTGATTGTCATATTTAGAGTACGAGCAGTAGTTCAGTGTTGGCTAATGTAGCAAAGAAACAAAGTAACGTTGGGATAAGAAGGCATTACATTTGAAATGATCATGCTATTACATTCGACAATAGTGGATGATGTCATGTGTTTTAAACATATATCATTTCTGTTTCTGGTTCGAAAGAAAAGGTTGGAAGTAAATGTGGGTGAAAAGTGAAATTTACTGTCTATCATTGTAAATATTGGAAAATCAAGGCAATACTGTCTTCATGAAAACATTGATGATTCCCTCTTTATCAAATGAGACAAACGGGAACGAGTTTTGAGTGATATAACTAAGCCCAGACTGCCACCGTCATTTTGGATTTCCGCCTGGGTAGATTTTGGTCACGTGTTAGGCAATGTATACTCGAGAACAAGATAGAATTTCATTTCAGGCCTATTTATCAATTTTGTGGTGTATAACTTTCGCATTTTAGTACGTAACATTTATTTTGAATATTCAAATTGTCTTGAAACTTAAAAGAAAATTGTTCTTTAAAAATTCACCAAAAATCGGTAGCCAAAATTATTTGTTTAGGTGTTATTTTCGTGTTAACCCGTAATTTCGTTAGTCGCCGGCACCTTTTGTTGCTTCGCGCAGAAAAAACACACGATACGAAATGTAGCGATCGATTTTGTCCCCAATCTCACGCCATAACAGAAAAAGTTTTTGAACACCTGTAAACTCTGAGCGCTTCGGAGTAAGTGATAATTTTAAGGATCTTCGGATTGTTTTCAAGTTCAAGGACTGTAAATTATAATTTTACAAAAAACGAAGGTTGTTCTCTTATTTCATTGTGAATCCTCGCACGCCTGCCAGTCGCTGGCGCCGCTTGTTGAAACTAATATAAACTCTTTTAAGATTATCATTGGCTTCTTTTTCACCCCACCACTTTCTTTCTCTTTGTAGTCACATAGGACACAACGCTTCAGGATTGCGTTGCTCTTACTACAATCTTTGGCGAATTCGTTTTCGGGAGGTTTAGGTGGATTTTCCAAATAATGGCTCACAACCGTCTTTGGTCTTTTAGCTCTCCAAGTCTGTTGTAAATGGTATGTAGGCATGCGTCTTAACAACCATTATAGTCATGCCTCAATCATCTCCGGTTTTAAATTATTTTTTGTTGTGTTCTATTTAACAAATAGAGAAGCCTTGACTGTTTTCACTCGAAGGGCCGCCGATGTAGTTTCTGAGGCTTGCTTTACTGTGATGACCGGAGATCGCAATGATGAGCGAGCCGCGATGAACTTCAGCATGATCATATTCGCTCAGACACCGTCATGATTAGTATTAATTTTAACAATTATGCCAGTTTGGTTATATTTTTCATCATTCCTGTTTTGTTCTGTTTTGTTTTTGAACACTGAACTTTATATACTATACGAGTGTTTATTTCTTCACTAATTGAGATTGATGATGGGAATTGACTTATATGTTCTCTGCTGTTTAGAGATTTGACGTGAACCCAATACATAGAGTTGGTATTATTGATAGAACGGATAGCTGTGACATTTACTGTGGCCAGCTGGTATTCAAAAGTTTCTTATTAGTACCAGAAGCTTACTTATGGTTTAAATTATCAGTCTTTTGCTCTCTCCACGCAACTTGCCTTAACTTAATTTATTATTACTGGTCACACCTTTGGGCTCATAGGGCAACAGGCTGCTCGGTCTTGTCTTTGTGCACACCTTTCCACTCATGGTGCAATTCTCGATCATCTGTTGAGGCTTAGGGGTAGTTTGACCAATGCTAAGTCTTCAAATTTCTCCAATTTGAATGAAATTTGTCGCATTATTGACCATAACTGATGATATATCCGAGACGGATTTAAAATAAGTTTCTATAATCTGATGAAACCCATAATTGTTCCTCCTTTTCTAACAAGCTCTCCTTTGATGTAACAACCGTATCTCTAGTACTTGTGTTATCTTACTTTTCTTTACCCGACATTGACTTTTTTTGTTTTGGTAATCGGCCTCACCAGTTACGATTAATGTCAAAAGAGAGACTTTTGAAACTAAACGTTAACTTTTTTCTTTCGCTTAAATTGAAAGTGCATTGCACCAGCAGTTGAAGCTCTACGAAACGCTCACATGAAAGTGAGTGCTTCAAATAATCAACGCTAACTTGAGATAACAATGACACGACTAAAATATTATCCAATACATCTCTTCAACATGCCTCTTCCATCCTTCATAAAAAAGACATCATCGACATCGATCGCCCAAACAATCATAAAACAAGACTAGGAGTCGTTTGCATACTCTTTTGCCTTTTGAAAATCACCTCCTTCCGCACACCACACAACAATTTTAAGACGCCAACGTTTCCATCTAAGGCACGGAGGGAAATATAATAAGAAAGGTTCTGTCAAATACTCAATCCATTGTTGTTTTTCCGACGTATTTTCCTGCTCCTCTTCTAGTCTCTAGCGGGAAACCGACGCAGGCGCATACCAGCGGTTGCTCGCGTCAAACCAAAAATCTACAGAAAAATCCTCGCAGGTGAGCTACAATTATTGAAATTGAAGAAAAGAAGCCTGGAGAAAGTTAAGTTACGACAGGATTCGAACCCATAACTCCCGGACACTAGTTGGGTGCTGCTAGCAAGAAATCTGCATGTAAGAGTATTGCAAATTTTGAACTGCTCTTTGTTTCCTTGAAAGAATCTGATCAAAATCAAATTCAGATAGGAGATCACAGATCACCATAATATTTACCCATAATCACAATCATTTTAAGGCCACATTAAGTTTACGAGGATCAACAAGTTCCTCTACTAGATATGAAGCAAATAGCTTAAAAACTGCAAGTCTTTTGATCATAAGGTTATTAGCACCTAACATATGTATATAAATATGTCTAATTTCAGCAAGTACGTTGAGTCTGGAACGTGAATAAGAGTCTTAAATAAATCCAGAGATATAATGTTTGGTGGAGGGCCAATATGGAGGATTTAGTCTATTACGTTCACACTCTTTTAGCCGAAAATACTGTGAAATGAAGATTGAATCATATTATTTGAGAATTTACCTTTCTTCTAGCTCCTTAATTTTCTCCTCTGCCTCTTTTTCCTTCTTCTTTATTTCCTCTTTGAGTGTCAGATTTCTGAAAAAAGAAAGAGCTTGTTCACATACCGTACAATTATGATTCAAACCAACTTAAATCGCTCTCTTCATATTGACTCTTAAAAATGGGTCGTACGTGGCACAGTTTAAAGAAATAATTATAAAACTAAAACAGTAAGCAGCCATCTGCGAACAGCTGCTGAACAATTTCCCTTAGTTTCCGAAGCGTTTCGTCGAATTTTCATAGACTTCTCCGTGGAGTTTTACAAGTAAACACTAAACACTAACACCTGTATTTATAAGCCATTGCATTTTAGTAAGTTACTCTTAAAGGTCCTGAAACAAGCGTGAGAGCGATTTTTATGAAATTGTTTGGCCAACGCACAAAGCTCATACCTTTCTACGCGATTTAACACCCTGCTAAGATTAAAAAAAAAAAAGGTTCGCAATGATTAGCCTAAACTGGAGAAACAAAAGCGTGTACAAAAGCCTAGAAATACTTCAAAGTAAGAATGTCACGCCACCTTCAATTACACTCTGCTCACGTGAAACGGTGATCATGTGACCCCAGAACACTAACTGTGATTTTGCTTGGACATCGAACAGTCTTTCTCTTGTATTAAGATTCGTGAGTTGAGCACGGTATTTATAAATCTAGGTAAGTTACATTTTGTCCATCTACTTACATCTGAGTATATTTCGTTATTTTCTCCTCCATGTTTTCGAGTTCCTTAAGAAGAGTATCATTTCTGTGAGAAGGGATTTAAAAGCAGAACATCTCACTCTGATCTCGTGTGTTTTTTAACGTTTATCGGTATATATGGCAACCCTCTCTTATAAGCAACAGCTCAAATGTACTCACTATTGACTCGATGTAGTTGCCCACCAAACATTTTCTGTAACACCAAATTTAATTCTAAGCGCACAAAATACACATTGGCTAGATTTCTCTGCAACCCAATTACATATTTCCACCGAAACAATCAAAATTCCTCTTTCGATGTTTTAGCTTAATATAGACTCTTGAAAAAATAGATGGCTCCTGATTATTTGCCTCTGTAACAATAGCTATCTGATAATGATCAATATTCAACAGTACTCATCTCGCTTTGTGCCTGCGTTTACCAATGGCTAGAAAAGAATAACTATTTTAACAGCTAACTTGGCATTCAAGCTTAGATTTATGTTTTAATCTTCATACATTTTCTGGATATAGCCACTTTTCTTCCATAACCTTTGAGATAAGTCAAGGTATGAGTGAAATCCTGTTTTTAGGCGTGAAATCTGATGTAAGATCCGCTTTAAATAGACTCAACAGAAATTGACCTCAAACGCGCCAAGAAAATTGTCATCAAATACCCTGTCCAACTCTAGAGATACCGTTTAAGTAAAATCGATGTTTATGTGTAAAAAATGTACATTAACAAAAAAGGAAGCTAAAACTGGAATACAAGATTCGATTTTTGTTTATTCCAAGACGATTCTACTGATTCAATCAGGCAGTTAATGCAGACTTACCTTTCTTTCATTGTCTGTATTTCGCGTAACAATTTATCGACCTCCTTCTGATGTTCATTTGTCAGGCCTTCAGTTCTAACAATAAAGAATTACAGATCTCATTTTAAATAAAAGTCACTCACTGATAACGGGTTAACCAAAGAAGACAAACAGATTAATCAATTTCATAAAGAGAGTCTTTATCTGCCGTCAAAAATCACCATCATGGCATGTGGATAAATTATTTACACCGAAGAATTACTAATGACTGCTAAACTATCCCCTCATCACGTAAACTCCTCCCTTGCACTAAATCATCAGCTCGCACCCCTAAATCATCAGCTTGTCTCTTCTGGGAAGGGCTTCAGAGTCACCCCAAACTTACGAAATGTTCAAAATCCTGCTAACGAGGTTTAGCTTCTAGTTAGCACTCACTTTTCCTCTACCTCTCTTGCTATTTCTACCATCTGCCTTTCCTTCTTCTCCTGCTCACCTTCGAGCAACGCAATTCTGACGACAAGAAAACAGAAGTGTTAATAAGTCTAAGTCAAAGAAAAGCACTAAACAAGAAGAAATTCGTGGAAAAGCTATCATCAGATTGAACTCGATATGCAAATTACAAAGCAAAATCTTGCACTAATATTGTAATAAGTATTATTTTCATTCATTAAAACATCACTGGAGTATTACTTTTTGCCTCACAATGCAATTTCTTCCCAACTGAACAAGTGAGTCGTGACGTTTCGGTCGAGTGATTGGCTGCTTTAGTATCACCTAGGGGAGGATAACGCTCCATTGTGACTGGTTAATCAGAGAGGCATTTTGTCCGCGCATGCGAGAGATTAATTAAAATGTTTCCCGTTCGACGTTATTCTGATGTTTTTAGCGCGCTTCCGCGGATTTTCAACAAGGCTATCGACATATTTCTCTAATAATTTTTGAAGAGGGATGAAAGAATATGCCAAGTTTACCACCATTTCTGACTCTTTGGAAACTCATGGTGCTTGCTGGCTCTTCAGATGAGGATACTTTAGTGATCAAAGTGCGAACAAAACGCGAAAAAAGACCGAAAACTTGAAGTTTGAGATTTGATTTACTGACGATCAACATGTGCACATGAGACTACAAACCTTGAAAGTTAGTCCTAAGATATTAATGTCTTACTTCTATGAATCACAAAGTTTTATTTGGAGACGCCGTGAGATATTTGCTACGATAAAGGAAGATAATTTAGACTTTGATCATATTTTACCTCAATTTCAAAGAAAAATTGCGTTCAGTTCGCTTTGGCCCCCAAGATTCAAATCACTTCAAATAACATTGTCCCTTTTTCTCTTTGTATTCACATAGGACACAAGGCTTTAAAAAATGTTCCACGGCTTCAGGATTGCGTTCGTCTTACTACAACCTTCGGTGCTTTCGTTTTTGGAATGTTTATGTGGAATTTCCAAGTCATGGTCAACAACCGTTTTGGCCTTTTAGCTCTCCAAGTCTATTGCATGTGGTATGTAGGAATGTGTTTTAATAACGGTTAAAGTCTCGCCTCAATCATCTCCGGTTTTGTTTTTGTTTTTGTTTTTTTTCGCTGTCTTCTGGTGAAAATTTTTCTAACTGCCTATTTAGGCTGAAAGTGCTAACAGGAGGAAAAAACTAATCATTAGAACTTATTTATTACATGGCCCCCAAATCCCTGACCACTGTCAGTTCATTGTTTATTTAGCTATCGGTCTAACCAGTTCATTTACCTGAAAAAAAAAAATGCGTAGGCTTTGTCTCATGGGTTTAAACTGTTTTTTTCGTGTTTGTGTGTTATTTTAAACGTATGGCTTCAGCTTCATTCTGTCTTGTTTATTTCAGTAGAATGCTTCTTTCTTGCGAAATGACTTTTGAGTCAAAGTGCATTATGAAGCTCTCGGATTAATATAATTAAATTTTCTTTTCTTCTTAAAATATGAGAGTAGGGATAAGAAATTGATAATTGCTCAAAGGAATGGAACTCTTTGATTCTTTGGGATATTGACTACACTATTTCTGTCATATTTTAAAACGAATATCAGGCTTAAAATGTATTCAAACCAGTTTGACTTGCATTTCACTTTGCTATAAATGTCTTGATCCTTCAATTTTTATTTCTTCAATAGTTAAGACTGATGATAGGAATTAACTCTTATGTTCTCTGCTTTTTAGGGAGATGTGAAGTGACGACAATACATAGAGTTGGTACTATTGACGTAACGGATAGCTGTGGCATTTACTATGGCAAGCTGCTATTTAAGAAATTTTTATTAGTACCAGAAGCTTACTACTGGTTTAAATTATCAGTCTTTTGCTCTCTCCACGCAACTTGCCTTAACTTAAATAATTATTACAGGTCACACTTTTAGGCTCATAGGGCAACAGGGAACACCTCTCCATTCATGGTGCAATTCTCGATCATCTGTTGAGGCTTAGGGGTACTTTAGCCAAAATTAAGTCTTTAAATTTTGATGAAGTTTGTCGCATCATTGACCATAACTGATGATATTTCCGAGACTAATGATTCAAAAAAGGTCTCTTTACTCTGATAAAGTCTATAACTATTCCTCTATTTCTGAACAAGCTCTCCTTTGATTTGACGACTATATCTCTAGTAGAAACGTTGTCTTACCTTTCTTTACTCGACATTGACCTTTTTTGTTTTCATAATCGGCCCGGCCAGTTGTGATTCGTGCCAAATAAAAAAAACATTTCGAACAAAACACAAATTTCTGAAAACTTTCATATTTCGCTTAAATTGAAAGTAAATTGCACTAGCAGTGGAAGCTCTACAAAACGCAAACAGGAAAGTGAGTGCTTGAAACAATCAACGGTAACTTGAGATAGCGATGACACGATTAAAGTACTATCCAATAGGTCTATGCTCTTCAACAAGCCTCTCGCATCCTTCATAAATAACATCATCGACATTGATCGCCCAAACAATCATAAAACAAGACTAGAAGTCGTTTGCATACTCTTTTGCCTTTTGAAAATCACTTCCTTCCGCACACCACACAACAATTTTAAGACTTTGACGCTTCCATCTAAGTTACAGAGGGAAACATGACAAAAATGGTTCTGTCAAATACTCAATCCATTGTTATTTTCCGACGTATTTTCCTGCTTCTCTTTTAGTCTTTAGCGGGAAACCGACGCAGGCGCATACCAGCGGTTACTCGCATCAAACAAAAAATGTACAAAACATGCGCAGACAATATGCCTCTCTACTGACTGGTTGGTTTTAACAGCAAATCATGTTGGACTTATACCCTAGTCAATAAAAATTAAAATCCTCGCCGGTGAGCTATAGTAATTGGAGAAAAGAAGCCTAGTTGGGTGCTACTAGTCGGGTGCTACTAGCAAGAAAACTGCATGTGAGAGTATTGCAAATTTTGAACTGTTCTTTGTTCCCGTGAAGGAATCTGATCAAAATCAAAGTCAGATAAGAGATCAGAGATCACCTTAATGGTAACCCATAATCCCAATCATTTTAAGGCCCCATTAAGTTTTCTAGGATCAACAAGTTCTACAAGATATATAGTAACTGAAAGTCTATTGACTTATAAGGTTATTAGCACCAAACAGATGTATAAAAATATGTCTGATTACGGAAAGTACGTTGAGTCTAGAACATGAATAAAAGTGTTAAATAAATTTGGAGAGATGATTTTTGGTGGAAGGCCAATATGGAGGATTTTAGTCTATTACGTTCATACTCTTTTGGCCGTTAATATTGGAATCGTTGCTCCTGTACTCTAAAATTCAATTTATAGCAGTGACACGTTATGAAAATGCAGTGAAATGTAAAAAAAATTTAAATTACATTTACCTTTCCTCTCGCTCTTTAATTTTGTCCTCTGCCTCTTTTTCCTTCTTCTTCAATTCTTCTTTGAGTTTCAGATTCCTAAGAAAAGATAGAGCTTATTCATATACCGTACAATTATGCTTCAAACCAACTTAAATCGCACTCTTTAAATCGACTCTTAAAAATGGGTCGTTTGTGGCACAGTTTAAAGAAATAATAGTAAAACTAAACCAGTGAGCAGCCCTCTGCGAATAGTTGTTGTAAAACTTGCTTTAATTTCCGACGCGTTTCGTCGAATTGTCATAGACTTCTCCAGAGAGTTTTACAAGTAAACACTAAACACCTGTATTTATAAGCCATTGCATTTTAGTAAGTTACTCTTAAAGGTCCTGAAACAAGCGTGAGAGCGATTTTTATAATTGTTTGTTACACAACGCTTTTACCTTTCAACGCGATTTGACACCCTGCTAAGGTTAATAAACATAGGCATGCTATGCATGTAAGAGTTTTTTTTTTGGGTTGGGTACATTTTTACAAACGGAAAGAAGAGCATTAACGCGGAAAACAACGAAAATGTCGAAGTAATTTTAATTTTGTGGTAGATTGTGTGTGTTGTGCGAATAACTGTCACCAAAAATAAACTGTATTGGTGCCACGGATACCTGTTAGTACAAAATGCAGACTGCAGACTGCAGACCGGATACAAAATGTAGACTAGGTACAAAATATAGACTACAGATTGCAGAGTGGGTACAAAACGCAGACTGTGAGTCTAAAGAGTTTTTTCGTCTGGTAGGTAATAACATGTCATGTTATAGCTTACCGTTGCGTCACGCAATCGCTTTTCCGCGATCGGCTTTCACGATTATTTGCACTATTGTGGAATATTCCTGGCCCGTTTCTTGATCAAAATCGATCTTAATATAATTTCAAGTCTTCTTATAGTCTTCTCACTTTGCGCACGAGTTGGTTGGTGTGATGTCTGCACAGATTTTACCAACTTAATAAAAGTAGATGTAGATGTAATGTGCAATATTCGAGAAACAATTGACAGCTTTGCACATCGTCTGTATTATTATCTGTTTAAGCGGTATGTGTTTATTTTGAGAAAAATGCGGTCCGAGACCAAAATTGTTCCTTCCACTTGAAATATTTTCAACGTTAGTAGATCACGTCATATTAACTTACCTCCGTAAATCATTCATTCCAGATAACAAAATCAATTCGTACTTGACCAAACACAAACAACTCCACAGGATCAATTTTTCCAGGCATCGAAAACATACACAAAATCGTCCATAGTTAATTTTCATCACACATTCGTCTAGAGATAGCACCGAGCAAACCAATCCAGAAAAATATAATCGGCACACTCAGCAAATCATGAATCTTGCAACACAGCTTGCCGTAAGAGAACTAATCAAATCAAAATGTTTGGTGCAATTCATCAACACCTAGAGCAATATCTGATCTGATTCAAAATTTTTCTACCCTCTATTGTCGTGAAGGAACAACAACCATGATCGTGCTACAGTGCACAGAACTCCATTTTCTCTCGAACAACTATCAACCATTTTCACAGCACGCGTAACACGGTTACTACAGGTAATCTGATATCTTTCATCTGTCCAGTAGTATCGCATTTCTCATAAAGCGCCGTAAAATACACGTTAAAATACAGAAAATCAAATATTTCTCATTCTATGAGATGATTCCATTTTACGAACCGCTCTCTCCGAATCCCCCATTACTTCATTCAAATTTGAACACCTCTCAAACCAAAGAACAAAGGCGACGCTCTGATTGGTGCGAGATACATACCCTTATACGGCGTCTGATTGGTGCGAGATACATACCCCAAACGATCTGATTGGTGCAAACAACATACCACTCTTTGAACGCTAACGTAGAGTTTTTCTGTTTTTTGTTTTTTTAGTTTTTTTTTTTTTCATAACTCAAAAAGGAAAGTTTCGCAATGATTAGCCAAATCCGAGGATTTGGATATCTTTTAGTGGGGAAACAAAGCGTGTACTCTACATAACTAGGTGAGTTACATTTTGTCTATTAACTTACATCTGAGTGTATTTTGTGATTTCCTCCTCCTTTTCCTTAAGAAGAGTGTCATTTCTGTGAAAAGAGATTTAAAAGCGGAACAACTCACTCTGATCTTGTGTGTTTTTGTAAATTTTATCGGTAGACATAGTAACCCTCTCAAATGGGCAGAAGCTTAAATGTACTCACCATTGTCCCGATTTAGTTGCCTAATAAAACTTTAACCTTTCTGTAATACCAGAATTAATTCTAAGCGCAAAAAATTCACACTGGCGAGATTTCTCTGCAACCCAATTATATATTTCCACCCGGAAATAATCAAAATTCCTCTTTCGATGTTTTAGCTGAATACAGACTCTTGAAAAAAATAGATGGCTCTTATTATTTGCCTCTGGAGCAGTAGATATTTTAAATGATCAATATTCAACAGTACTCACTTCGCTTTGGAACTTCTTTTATCAATGGCAAGAAAAATGCTAAGAATAACTGTTTTTAGATTTGATTTGCCATTCAAGCCTGGTGAAAACTGACCTAAGATCCGCTTTAAATAGACTCAACACAAATTGACCTCAAACGCGTCAAGATTTTGCGATGGACAACTACAGCCTAAACGAAGAGAATTGTCATCAAGTACCCTGTCCAACTCTAGAGATACCGGTTAAGTAAAATCGATGTTAAAGTGTAAAAAATGTACATTAACAAAAAAGGAAGCTAGAACTGGAATACAAGACTCAATTTTTGTTTATTCCAAGCCGATTCTACAGATTCAATCAGGCGGTTGATATAGACTTACTTTTCTTTCATTGCCTGTATTTCGCGTAACAATTTATCGACCTCTTTCTGATGTTCATTTGTCAGGTCTTCAGTTCTAGCAATAAAGAATTAAAGATCTCATTTCAGATAAAAAAAGATTAATCGCTGATAAAGAGTTAACCAGCGAAGACATAAACAGATTAATCAACTTCATAAATACACTATTTATCTGCTGTCTAAGAATCACCATTATCATTTACATGTAAATCATTTACATTGTAAATTATTTGCACCAATAAAATTACCAATGACTCTTAAACTACCCCTTCATCATGGAAAATCCTTTCTTCTACAGTAAGATTTCAGTCCTAAGTTATTAGCTCGTCTCTTCTGGAAAGGGCTTTAGAGTCACCCTAAATTTACGAAACGTTCAAATTTCTGCCAACAAGGTTTTGCTTTTAGTAAGCACTCACTTTTCCTTTTCTTCTCTCGTTATTTCTATAATCTGCCTTTCCTTCTTCTCCTGTTCACTTTCGAGCCTCGCGATTCTGACGATAAGCAAACTTGATAAGTCAAGTCAAGGAAAAGCACTAAACGAGAAGGAATTCATAGAAAAGCTATCTTCAGATTGAACTCCATATGCAAATTACAAAGCAAAATCTTATACCGTAGTAAACATTATTGTCATTTATTAAAAAAAACATCTTGAGAGTTTCAATGAAATTTCTTCCCACGTGAATCGAGACGTTTTGGTCGAGTGATTTCCTGGTTTGGTGTCATCTAGGTAATGATAACGTTCCATTGTGACTGGTTGAGCAGAGAGGCTTTTTGTCCGCGCATGCGCAAGATTAATTCAAATTTTGCCCGTTCGGCGCCGTTCTGATATTTTCAGCGCGTTTCCACGGGTTTTCAACTGAGCTATCCCCACCTTTATCTCATAATTTTTGAGGAGGAATGACAGAACATGCCAAGTTTACCACCATCTCTAACTCTGTGGAAACTTGTGGTGGAATGATTAGCCTAATTTGAGCATCTAAATGTCTTTTAGTTGGGAGACAAAAACGTGTACAAAAGCCTAGAAATGCTACAAAGTAAGAATGTCACGCACCTTCAATTACGCTCTGCTCACGTGAAACGGTGGTCATGTGACCCCACAGATACACATTAGAACAAGTGCTGCTGGGGCGAGGATTCCAGCCATAAATCAATGTTTGTTTTAACTGCACAGTGATTTTGCGTGGACGTTGAACAGAGTATTAAGATTCGTGGGGCGAGCACGGCATCTATAAAACTAGGTGATTTACAATTTGCCTTTTAACTTACATCTGAGTATACTTCGCGATTTCCTCCTCCCTCTTTTCAAGTTCCTTAAGAAGAGCGTCATTTCTATGAAAAAAGATTCAAAAGCAGAACAACTCACTCGAGCTCTAATCTCGTGTGTTTGTAAATTTGAACAGTACATATGGTGACCCTCTCAAATGGGCAGGAGCTCATATGTACCAAATATTTAGGTTTTCTTTATTACCAGAACGAATTCTAAGCGTACAAAATACACACTGGCGAGATTTCTCGGCAACCAAATCACACATTTCCACCGAAACAATCAAAATTTCTTTTTTGATGTTCTAGCTGAATACGGACTCTTGGAAAAAATAAAAGGCTCTGATTATTTGCCTCTGGAGCAGCAGATATATTAAAATGATCTATATTCAAAAGTACTCGTTTCGCTTTGTTCCTGCGTTTATCAATGGCAAGAAAAATACCAAAAATTGGCATTGGAGACTTGGCATTCAAACCTGGATTTATGATCGGCAAGATTCTTGTTGTAATCCTCATACATTTTCTGGATATAGTCACTTTTCTTCAATAACCTTTAAGATAAGACAAAGAATAAGTGAAATCCTTTTTGTAGGCGTGAAATCTGATGTAAAATCCGCTTTAAATAGACTCAACACAAATTGACTTTAAACGCGTCAAGATTTTGCGGTGGACGACTGCAGCTTCGTCGAAGAAAATTGTCATCAAGAACCCTGTCCAACTCTAGAGATACTCTTTTCGCAAAAATTAACAAAAACGGAAGCTAAAACTAAAATACAAGACTCAATTTTTGTTTTTTCCGAGCCGATTCTACTGATTCAATCAGACGGTTGATATAGACTTACTTTTCTTTCATTGCCTGTATTTCGCGTAACAATTTATCGACCTCCTTCTGATGTTCATTTGTCAGGCCTTCAGTTCTAGCAATAAAGAATTAAAGATCTCATTTCGATCACTCACTGATGACGAGTTAACCAAAGACGACATAAACATATCAATCAACTTCAAAAATACAGTATTTATCTAATGTCTAAAAATCACCATTATCATTTGTAGGCAAATTATTTACATCGAACAATTACCAATGACTCTTAAACTATCCATTCATCATGGAAAATCCTCCCCTGTACCGTTAGTGTTCAGTCCTAAATTGAAGGCTCGTCTCTTCTGAAAAGGGCTTCAGAGTCAACTAAATTTTTTAAACGTTCAAAATCCTGTCAACAAGGTTTAGCTTCTAGTGAGCACTCACTTTTCCTTTTCTTCTCTCGTTATTTCTATAATCTGCCTTTCCTTCTTCTCCTGTTCCCTTTCGAGTCTCGCGATTCTGACGATAAGAAGATTTGATAAGTCAAGTCAAAGAAAAGAGCTAAACGAGAAGGGATTCATGGAAAAGCTATCATCAGATTGAACTCAAATGCAAATTACAAACAATATCTTGCGCTTTTATCGTATACTCACTGGGTTATTATCTTTTGTCACGTGAATCGTGACATTTCAGTCGAGTGATTGACTGGTTTAGTGTCACCTAAGGGAGGATAACGCTCCACTGTGACTGGTTGAGTAGAGATGCATTTTGTCTGCGTATACGCGAGATTGATTTAAATTTTGCCCGTTCGGCGCCACTCTGATGTTTTCAGCGCGCTTCCGCGTATTTTCAGCTGGGCTATGGCCACCTTTTTCTGATAATTTTGAAGAGGGACAAGAGAATATGCCAAGTTTGCAACCATTTCTAACTCTGTGGATACCTATGGTGTTTGCTGACTCTTGGGATGAGGATATTTTAGTGAAAAAAGTGCGAACAAAACGCGTTAAAAGGCCGAAAACTTGAAGTTTGAGATTGGGTTTCCTGATGATCAAGATGTGCACATGAGACAACAAACGTTGAAAGTTAGCCTTAAGATGTTAATGTCTTACTTTTTTGAATCACCACGCTTTTTTCAGATAAGATTGTGAGATATTTGTTACGATGAAAGAAGATAATTTATAATTTGATTTGATTTTGCTCCAACTTTGAAATAAAATTGCGTTAAGTTCGAGGTGCCCCTGAGCTTCTTTTCTTTCTCTTTGTAGTCACATAATGCACAACGCTTCAGGATTGCGTTGCTCTTACTACAACCTTTAACGAAATTCCTTTTCGTAAGGTTTAGGTGGATTTTCCAAGTAATGGCTCACAACCGTCTTTGGTCTTTTAGTTCTCCAAGTCTGTTGTACATGGCATGTAGGCACGTGTCTTAACGAAGGTTATAGTCTTGCTTCAGTCATCTCCGGTTTTATCTTATTTTTTCCTGTATTCTGGTGGGAATTTTTCTCATTCAAGCCCAAATACTAACTAGAGGAAAAACTTCGGTAAAACTTATTTATCACATGCCCCCCCCAATTCCTCACCATAGTCAGTTCATTGTTTATTAAGCTTTCGGTCTAACCAGTTCATTCACCTCAAAAAAAAAAAAAATACGTGGGCTTTGTCGCATGAGTTTAAAACTGGTATCGTTTTCTTCATGTTCATGTGTTACTCGAAACGAATACCTTCAGCTTCATTCTGTCTTGTATGTTTCAGTAGAATGCTTCTTTCTTGTGAAATGACTTTTGAGTCGAAGTGCACTATGAAGCTCGCAGATTAACATAATCAAACTTTCTCTGGTTCTAAAAATATATGAGACTAGGGATAACAAATTGATAATTACCCAAGGGGCTGCAACTCTTAGTTTCTTTGAAATGTTGACTACACTATTTCTGTCGTATTTCAAAACGAATTTCAGGTTCATACGTATTCAAACCATTTTGACTTGCATTTCACTTTGTTAGACTTATTTTTTATGTTCTTTGTTGTTTAGGGAGATGTGGAGTGACCCCATGCCAATACGTGGAGTTGGTACTATTGACAGAACGAACTGTGGCAGCTGGTATTCAAAAAGTTGTTATCAATACCAAAAGCTTACTACTTGCTTAAATTATCAGTCTTTTGCTCTCTCCACGCAACTTGTCCAATAATTTTCAATTATTACTGGTTATACGTTTGAGCTCATTGGGCAACAGGGTGGTCTCTCTTGCCTTTGTACACACCTCTCCACCCGTGGTGTAATTCTCGATCATCTGTTGAGGCTTAGTGGTAGTTGACCAAAATAAATTCTTCAAATTTTGATGAAATTTGTCACATCCATGACCATAACTGATGATATTTCCGAGACTAATGATTCAAAAAAGGTTTCTTTACTCTGATAAAATCTATAACTATTCCTCCATTTCTAACAAGCTCTCCCTTGATTTGACGACTATATCTCAGGTAGAAACGTCATCTTTCTTTGCACACCACACAACAATTTTAAGACTGTAACGCTTCCATCTAGGGTACAGAGGGAAACATGACAGAAATTTTGTGTCAATTATTCGATCCATTGTTGTTTTACGAAGTACAGTATTTTCCTGCTTCTCTTCTGGTCTTCAGCAGGAAACCGACACAAGCAAATACCAGCGGTTACTCGCATCAAACAAACAATTTATAAAACATGCCCGGACAAAATGCCTCTCTACTGACTGGTTGGTTTTTAACACCCAGTCATGTTGGAATTATACTCAAGTAAATAAAAATTCCTCTTAGGTGAGCTACAATTATTGAAATTGAATAAAAGAAGCCTGAAGAAATTTAAGTTAGGACAGGATTCGAACCCGTGACTCCCGGATGCTAGTTGGGTGCTGCTATCTAATGCGCTACAAAACTGAGAGTATGATACACAATCATTTGGCCGTTAAGATTAGACTCGCTGCTCCCGTGCTGTGTCAAATTCAATTTATACTAGTGAGATGGTATGAAAATACAGTGAAATGTAAACAAATTTTAAATTATATAATTTGAGAATTTACCTTTCCTCTTGCTTTGCAATTTTCTCCTTTGCCTCTTTTTCCTTTTTCTTCAATTCTTCTTTGAGTTTCAGATTCCTAAGAAAAGAAAGAGCTTCTTCATATACCGCAAAATTTTATTAAAGCCAACTAAATCGCACTCTTCACATTGTGTCTTCTAATGTAAATCCTAAAGCATCAAAATTGTTTTTGCCAACACTTATTTCTGGGAAGCAATTATTGGGCATTCTGACACTAGTATCAGCTAAAGCACCTCTATTTAACAATTTTTTCCGCGTCAAATTTATTTTTGAAATGCAATTTAGGGGTAGCTTAAATACATTTATAATCTATGGAAACAATAACTGCATTAATAACTGAAATTTCAATTTAGAGCCAGGGAATTTATTTGTAACAGTTGTGTTGCCCTTTGCCGTTTTGCTGTTATGGATTTGTCTAGCTTCAAATGTACGTCATTTTACTGGAAACCTTTTGATAAAATTTCACGTTAAATCATATTTTATATAAAAAATGTCTCGAAATCAGATTAGAGATTTTCATTTCAAGTCAAGAATTCTGAATTTCTTTGAGGTTGCAGGAGTGGCACATTCGCTTGGGCAATATACCAATGCATTGAAAATGTCGAAAGTTATTTGAATAACGTGAATTATTCAGTTAGACATAGTCATATCATAGGCATATCAACACTCAGATTGAAAATCTTTAAAGTTTCATTCTTTCAAGATTTTACCCGTTCTTTAAACCACTTTGATGTACCTTTAATTGTGATCTAATAACCTTAGGCATATCTCTGCTATTCTTCTGAAACTCAGAACTTCTTATCTCAGTGGAGACGAAGAGTAAAACAAACTTTTTTCTTTACTTCTTTGGCTTCCATGCGTAATAAGTAGACAACCAAGGCTACTTACAAACTAGATGTACGGAAGTAGGAACTACGGTTACCGTCATGAGCAAATTTGGTCGGCCAAATGGGTGACCATAGTCTCCTATTTATGGAGCTCCACAAGCAAGTGGCAGTTAAATGAGTCTTAGGAGTGCTGGTTTTGAGGAACACTAACCATGGCAGTTTAGAGGCCAATTTTATAAATCTTAAAAGTGGCTATTTTACTTATTAGGATATAAATTTAGGTGTTCTCACTCCTCTTCCACCAGTTTTAACTGTTCTTTATTCTCCTCTATTGTATCTTCCTTTTCCTTCAATTCTCTCTCCACGTACCTAATATCACAAATGTAGCGTGAGGAAGCAGATACCGAAATAAAAAGTTTCAGTCGTCTAACCATCGCCAAAGAAAAGGGCTGACACTAGTTTCTGATGGAGAAATACCACTTGATCAACGTGTGGTAGTTCGTAGAGTTGAACTGTGGTATGCGTTTCAAAATAGAGAGTTTTTTTGTCACACGCTTTATATTTCAACATGGAAACGAGACCCAGACCTAAATTGTCCTTTTAGCTCCTGATAGATAAGCGAACGCGACTAAAAATTAAAGGAGACTTCACAGCCAAGTAGATGTGACATATTTGACAAGATAACGATAAGTAATGTCATGTGACCGCTGACGTCGGTATTTTGTCCTATTCTAATAAAAATATCAAGTAGGTAGCTTATTACCATTACCTTAGTAAATTGATCTTATTTGTACCTGAAATTCCGATATCTTTTCAAATAGTATCTTAAGCTTGTTGGCGCAGACTTGAAAACGAGACAAATCTGAAGAGCGGTGTACCTTCGGTCAAATGCTTAAAATAAAAAACGTTCATAAAAAGGTGTCGTATGAAACACATTTTTAAGTTTGCGAAACATTTTACGACATTGTTGGTACCCTTTCAGTTCATCCCACCTCAGTTCGAAATGCTCGCGTTACAGTTTGAATTTAACTTTAAAAATTGGTCATCGAATCACGATGTAAGACTAACAGAGTCCTGAAAAATTTGAATAGAACATAACAGAAGCACAGGCGGACAGAAGTGGTATTCTCAAGTGCATCCTTGAAGGATTTCTTTTGCCATCCACCTCCCAGCAACACGCGCGGGAATTGCACCGGAAAGTATACTAACGGTTGCAGGAATAAATGAGTCAAAATCATCTCTTTATGCAATATTGTACCCTGTTTAAATACATACTAGGTACAATAATGATACACTTGAAAAATTACGCGCTTCTGATTAGCTGAAAACAAGTGCATTCTTCATGTAACACGACTGCAAAGTTGTAACATAAGCGCAAAAAAATTTTGTTTGTCTTTATTTTCTGGGATGATTTTTTCATGTTAATTATTAGTAAGTAATAACATAATTTTGAATGCAATTTGGTGCATCTAAGCACTTGTATGTTTTTCAAGACAACAATTTGGACTCGCCCTACGGACTCGTGCAATTTTGTTGTCTTTGAAAAATTTACACGTACTTGTTTACACTAAATTGCACTCGAAGTCATGCTACTACCTATACGTATATATATTTACTATTATCATTCTACTGTAGTTAATATTGTTTTGGTTTTATGTGGATTACTTTAAAATACCACTCTCCCTGCGCAACAAGTTTTTAAATCAGTTCACGATTCTGTATAGAGCAATCTTACGTCGTGGTTCGATAACGCATTTGTTAAGTAAAATTCAAACTGTAACATGAGCATTTGCAAGAGGTTTTCGATGGAGTTTAACCGTCAGCAATCAAAGAGGATAGATTTTTACGGTCAACCGTCCAAAATGCAAATCAATATTAACCGTCAAACGGTTTAAAGAATTTGTATACTTTAGTCGCTTGCTACCAAGAGCTTAAGATCTGGAAGAATCCTTCGGATGGTTAACTGGCCTATAATATTAAAAGATGGCTGACTTTATTGATGACTTGTCTTTGTACACACAACTACGCACTGTTTCTGTCCATCGACAAGATCACAACTGTGATCACGCTTAGATCACGTCGAATGTCCTGAAAGCTTTCGATAGCTTTTAGCACAAAAATCATCACTGGTAGTTTTCGCCAGATTATTAATGATTCCCTCGAGATCGACGACATTTTTATCTTCGCTCTATGTTTGAAATAGTGAAAGTAACCAAAAAACTAACGTTCCAATTGAATGGATGAAAACCCTTCAAGTGTGCGAGAAGCAAACGCAACAATCCAATGAAAGAGAATCTTAGAAGTACTCGAGATACTTAAGTAACTCACGAATGAAGGAGTTTCTGAAAGTGCGCGAGATACTAACGTAACAATCCAATTAAAGAGAATCGTAAAAGCGCGGGAGATACCCACATAACAAAATTTCATATCTAAAAGTAACCGTGCAACAAAATTCTCAGTTATTGAATTGGTCCCTACCGACAGAAGAAATCTTTCAGGTACACCGCCAAAATCGGCTGGTGGCAAATCTTTTAGTTGTTGATTTTCGTTCTCAGCCGCGAAAAATGCCATCAACAAAGCCACTGAATGCGTAACTTTCTGATTTTCTCTTCGTATTTTGGTTTCCTTCCCCTTCTAGAAAAGTTTAACGTCACTGTCTATAAAGTATACGGATATTTCACTGTTTTAGCAGCCATAATCCGGGAAAATTCCGACAAACAATGAAGGATTGAGCGGAATGGTGAAGGCTTTGCCCTAAATTCATCAACCTGACCGGGTGGCGCTTAATACGAGTGACGTGTCAGCAGCTGATTTGCGATATCAATCACACGTGAAAAATATGGTATTTCTTTTTTGCTGGGCTGGAAATCCTTGTATAACACCGTAGTTTATATGATAATCTAAAGTAACAATTTGATGAGAGAGAATCTTAAATGTGCGCGAGATACTAACGTAGCAATCCAGTGAAAGAGAATCCTAAAAGTGTGCGAGATACTAACGTAAAAATCTAAGGAAAAAGAATCCTAAAAGTGCGCGAGATACTAACGTAACAATCTAACGTAAGACAATCCTAAAAGTACGCGATATACTAACTTACTACACCCATTTTGAAATCACTGGGGGTCCCTATAATCTGATTGACTCTAATTGGTGCGATTTATTCACAAATCGCATCAGTTTTTGCTTTAAATCGCATCTTTTTCTTAGCCAATGAGGAAGCTTCACTAATAAGAAAACAACCAATCATATTTCAAGGCTTGTTTACAGTAACCAATCAAATTTCAGGAAAGTGAGCCACTTATGATGGCATCAGTAGCATCGAAACATACTTTGCAGATTCAAAAATGTCGTTTTTAATGCAGATTGTAATTCCTTTCGTTTTCAATCTATTTTTGTGTTTGCGTCTTATTAACATTTTGCCAAAGATACATTTCTCTTTCTATTGTATTGCCTCGTTTTCAATTCTGCTCCAACAAGCTTAAAAAGACATTGAAATTCCAGATGCAAATAAGATCAATTTACTGAGGTAATAGTAATAAGGTAGCTACCTTCTTGATATTTCTACTAGAATAAGATAAAAATGCTGACGTTAGCAGTCACGTGACGTTCCTCGTCATCATCTTTTCGCATATTTCACGTCTACTTATTTTGCTGTGAAGTTTCCATCAATTTTTAGTCGCATTCGCTTGTCCATTGGGAGCTCAAGGGTCAATTTAGATCTCAGCCTCGTTTCCAGTTCAATTCAACTCTACGAACTACCACACGTTGATCAGGAAATCTTTCTCTACCAGAATCAAGTGTCAGACTTTTCTGTGATGATGGTATATATATTTGTAAACGGAATTATATACATGCTAGAAAACCTGCGATGTGATTTGCAGTCCTAACAGTTTTTTCAAGAATCACAATAAAAATATACGAAATGTGAAATCGGGTAAACCTGTCTCTGCTAAACACCATTGAGCTGTGCACGCTTTTCATGGCCTCAAGTGCTGCAGTCATCTCTCTGACAGTTTGGTCCAAGGTCACTAAACTGTAAAGGATGCTAACACTTATTCAAAATTGACATTTGATGCTTAAAAAATTAAGATAAATGAACCTATTGAACAATATTAACATGGCAATGACAATGATGATAATAATGATATAGTATTCGTCCATTATTGTTACTATCTTCTACATCAATGGCAATAAGTAAGATTAAAACTCCAGCCAAGAGGCCCACACTACCGGAACTTATCGCTGTTTCCGTTGACTGAATCTATTAGTAGCTACTCCGTAGTTCATCGTAGGGTGACCGAAGAATACTTACTACAAGTAAATGATCGCGACTTAACGTAATTTTGGTTTTTATTACGTCGTGATGTCGGTCCACATCCTGTGAAAAACAGTTGGCTTATCTTACTGAGAAAAAAATGTGGACTGGAAAAACCAAGTAACTACCAATTTCAAAACTTTGTCTTTTCTTAGGCCTTATTCGTTTCTGCTGAGTTCATCGCGGCTTCCCTTTGTGAATTCGAATTTGAAAGGATCTTCAGGACTAAAACCATACTCTCCCAAGAATTGGGGAGAAGTGTTAATCGAATTAGCCTAAATGGAGGTCACCAATTACAAACCCTACAGATGTCCATAATAATGTTCAGCTCGGAACTTATCCGTGACAATTTCGCGTGATATTTTCGTGTAGTTATTATTGCGTTACAGGATCGAGATTGACTTTTTCGAATTAATTTCGAACATGGCCCAATCTCTAATCTCGAATTATCGTTACGATGTCGTAAATACATCAGATAAAAGGTTAATGTTTGCCTACCGTTTATCGTATCGAATTCACCCGGGAAATCGTCCGTAACGGATGGTATACCCCAGAATGTAAATTTTTCCGGAGACAGAAGAGCGATTAAATCGTTGATGCCAGACCGAATCACATTTGAAGAGCACTGACAAACCACTGACTATAAATATCAAGATTCCACCGACAGGTAAATGTGAAGTTTGCTATGAATACGAATGCGCGTCAAATTTTGGGTGATTCATTGAATTCTCACTTAATCAACCGCAAACGACTCTTGTCCGGATTACGTTATGTCGTTACGTCAGATCCAGTAAATGATCTTTAGGAAATGTATAGCGTTGTGGTGTACATTCTTTTCGAATTTTTGCAGAACGCAAAGCGCGATAGAACTTTTCGATATAATTTTGGAAAAGGTTCATTAAAAGGGTCCTTTAGGAAAATTCTAGATATTTACTCACGGTCAGTGGCTCTTGAGTATCTTTAGTTTTTCCCGAAACACATATGCCTGACCCTACCCCGTCATATGGAAGGTCGCACATAACAGTGTACTAGTAACGTGTATCAAAGCCTGCTTACCTTTGCGTATTCGCGTTTATTTCCGCTTGAAAACATTCCAGTTGCTTTTGCATGTCTGATCGTGCTAATCTTTCTGACTCATCTCTTCTGCTTAACAAGAAAAAATCTGTTGATGAAGTTGTCTCGTTAACACCAGACACTTAACTACGTATTATATTTAACTATGTGACATTAAACTTAGAGATGTGTGCGGAATATTCTTATGTTCGATTCATTCTTCAATGTGGTCTTACGAACCCGTGTTTGGTCGTTTCGGGTTGATTTGTAGCCCTTGTTTCCTTCTCAAGCCACTGCTCAATCCTTTCCGGCAAGTTGGAGAACACATCGCGATTAGCTTTCAACACAGCGATGAACGACCTCCTTGAACGAGCTCGAGCGTCGTCGATCGTCGTTTGTGATTCGGTAGTGGGGGATTGTGTGTCTGTCATTGCCACAATACAGCGAATAAAGAGCAACGATTTAAAATATTGAATCCTTGCGCATGCAGAGGGTTGATAAATTAAATCAATAGGCCATTTTTCACGGTTGAGAGATCCGATCCTGAAACACCATCATTCGCACTTTGCCTCGTTCTCGTGCCTCAGTGAGAACTTGAAAATGGCCCAAGCCGCTGGGAGAATGTTACTAGATTTCTGAGAAAAACCGGAAGTGTCATGTACCTGAACATGTAATGTATTCATTCATTTATTTTATTTTACAATTTTGAGAAACGATTTTTGAGCTGAGCATAACATAACCTTGTCAATAGCTTAAAACAGACGAAAAACCAATCAAATATACGCTCATAATTCATATACCACAGTCCTCCACACAGTTTTAATTTCAACAACGTCTGATGTCTCTAATCTAAAGAAATCGTTATCTTTGAGGCCATTATAATTATGACGTAATCTTTCCAAGAAAGGGACAAAATCCCCTGTAACACATTATAATGACTTAGTTTCCTAGAGGACGATTATTTCACCGCTGAGTGGTTTCCACTACAAATCTTCATGTTCGATGAACAAGAGCTGTCTTCAAGATGCAAAGAACTTCGGAATGTGAGTTGACGATGCACAAACCAAAATTATTGTGACCGACAACTACATGAGCTCATGACGTCGAAAACAGAATTGAAAGTCGCTCAAACAAACATTCTTAATATTAAATGAAAATTATCATATTTTTGAATGTAAAAATGAGACCTCAGTGATTCGTCTCATTTATGACTAAATACAATAATGGAGTTCAAGTCGTGATTTTCTTCAAACCTGGCACCCTCTAATACGATGATATTACGAAGTTGACGACTTTTCAGTATTCTCGGAATTCTTCTGCAAATTTCAGCTCGGTTATGATAAAATATTTCAAACGATTGAAGCTTTCTATGATTCGGATAACTTCAAATCAACTGCTGAATAAAATTCTGCTTTTCTACTAATTGCCAATACATGAACTGAAACCACGTTTCATTACTTTGCATTTTATATCTGTCATCACCTGCCTCTCTCATCTATTTGACGTTTCTTCCTGAAGCATGTGCTTATTGAATTATTTAATTGTTGACTATAATTATCGTTCAACAGACGATCAAGAGGGAGGTGAACTTTTCCTCTCCGCTCCTGTTGCATTCATCGCTGTGGTAGCAATTGACTTTGGCACAACGTTTAATGGGTTTGCATTTTCGTTCAATAACAAAGAGGGAGAAAAAAGTATTCACATGAATAAAGAATGGAGAAGTGACCAAGGCTACTACAAGACACCTACATGTATGTTGCTCAATCCAGACCAGAGTTTCAATTCGTTTGGCCATGAAGCCAAAGATAAATTTGCTGATTTGAAGGAACAAGAGAGGCTCGACAATATTTTTACTTTGATTGCTTTAAAATGACTCTTCATAACAATAGGTTTATACTTTTTTTAGAAATATTCATAGAAAGATATTTCTCATGTTGTTTAGGTGATTAATTCCGAACCGAAACTTGCTGCAAACATAGAACTGATAAACTTTCGAAATAAACGTGGTTTTTCTCCTCACAGAGCTTGAATAGACCACTGTAGAGGCAGGAAATGGCAAGCACATGAGGGCTTTGGATGTTTTTAAATATTCCATACCATATCTTTCAAAGATATTATACACGGGCACTTGAGGTGATTAATATGGAAAGCAATATGGAAACCAGCGGCAAAACAATTCAAAACAACTCACTTATCAAGTGAGCTGCTATGGTATACACATTTTACCGTGATGTACTTCTTTCCTACGGCCATTTTCTGCAAGATGTCTCCGTAACATCATCTTCATTGACTATACTGACATCCAGTATTTGTACTTTTATCTCAGGCAGGGCTGGCACATCCCTCAAACCCAGAGCAGATACTGATCGCTTTGGAGCCAGAGGCGGCCTCCGTCTACTATAGAGAGCAAAAGGTGAGAGAGTTTGTTGCTGAGAGTGGTAGTAACGATGCCTCAGTTGAGGACACCATTGCCTGACCAGAAACACAGTACATGGTAATTGACATTGAAGGTAAACTCAATTTTCCTAGTAGCAGATTGTTCCACTCGAAACTCTAGACGTGAACAAAGACATCGACCTTGTGCGGTTTAATGCTTTATTTTATTTATGTTAATTTTTTATTTTTGTCTATTTGCCGCGATGATAAGCAGAGTAAACAGAAAGTATAAATCTCGAGACAGAAATAGTCAACACATGTAAAGCTAGACACCCCGTTTTTTAAGTGATCAATTTTTTATCATTTTTATGTAAGGTTTTCTGTTTAATAAATGTGCAGGGCCCAGTTATATAAAGTTCAAATAATGCTATGCAACGGATAAATTGCTATCCGGTGGTGGATAAGTGACAGTAAAACGTATAGCGTTATCCACCACATCAGTCCCTCACCATGATGATTTTCGAACCGCTAGCTTAAAGTTTCCAGTCTGCCAGATTTTACGCCGGTGCACCGCTCATAATCGAAACACGAACAGTTACAGTATTATCATCGATCACTAGTAACGCAAAGTGTTAGCCGAACGGGCTATGTAGATAATCTAAATGATATCTGAATAACTCAGATAACTGATCTTGCTGGTCATATATTTAAGTATGTTTTATGAAATTCCACAGGACACATTAATACACATTTTTACGTCCAAGAATTATTTCACTTGCTTAATGGCTTTCACTTTTTTTTCTAGTCTATTTTTCATCATTATTTCATTTAAAAAAAGATTCTGACAAGAAAGCCTCTGACAAGTTAGCCCGTTTAAAAACTTATAGTCGCTGACGCTGTCACACTCGTTAACTCAATGACAAGTAAACAAGGTAATTTCGCAACGCCAGATCGCTTCGATCGTCCAGAGAGATCTTAGTTATTCGAGAAATTCATATTTTAAAACGCTGTGAATCCAACTGATCCTCTTCCTCGCCACATCACCTTTGAAGATCGAGACTTTCCAAACTATTATTTAACAAATAGAGAAGCCTTGACTGTGCTCTGTTCTGTTATAAAGCACGCAGGAAGTGGCTAGAGCACGAAAGAATTGTAGGGAGAAACACGAGACGTAGTGTTTCTCCCCACTTCTTGAGTGAAATGTTCAGTGAATTTCAGCTGAATTATGCCTCATAAAAAACACGCGAGTTTTTTCACATGACAATGTAGAAAACAAACTGTTTAAGGCGAGTGTTTTTTAAATGAACGACAGCCGAATTCACCGAACATGAAGATCGCTCGGGATGATAGCGCCGCAAAACTCGGCTGCAGTGACCGAAGTGACTTTCTTCTAAACGTATCGGAAAGGATATCAGAGCGAGCTCTTATTTTTTCACTCGAAGGCCGGCCGATGTAGTTTCTGAGGCTTGCTTTACTGTAATGACCGGAGATCGCCATACTAAGCGAGCCGCGATGGACTTCAGCATGATCATATTTGCTCGGACACCGTCATGATTAGTATGAATTTTGACAGTTATGTCAGTTTGATTATATTTTTCATAATTTCTGTTTTGTTCTGTTTTGTTTTTGAACTCTGAACTTTATATACTATACGAGTGTTAGCTGTGTTTGATTCTTATTACCGTACGTAAGCCTGAGCGTGAAAATCTTTAAAACTCGGAATGTCTATTTTGTTTTTCCTTTGAAGATTTTTGTATCTGCTCACGTTTTAATAATGTAAATTACGGCGCCTGATATGTTTACAAACCTTTGTTTGGTTCATCTGTTGCTACTTGCCGGCTCGCTTGTTCTGAAATTTCACTTTCAATTATCGGAAAAAAAGCTAAAAAGAAGTCCCGGAAAAGGTCGAACATAGTACAATTTGGCAGATGGCGTAACAGCTTTAGCTCAGTTCTATGCTCTATACTCTCATAGAGCACGCTCTTTCAACCAATGACAGCGCGCGTTATATCTGAACTTTATTATAATATGACATCAGACTCAAGCAAAAACTTAAAATAATATTATTTCTATAATCCTGTTCAGTCTGCATCGAGTGCACACGGCAGCTTCCATGAAAACGCCGGAAGACACCAAAAATTTGAAGTTAATCGTTGAAAAGATCCTTGTACAGTTTTCTATCACATTGATGAAACTTATTCATTCATTTGACGTTGATATTGAACAAAGTTTGCCGTTAGTTCGCACTTTCTACGCCATTTCTACGAAGAAACGCGTCATGCCCTGCAGATTTCAGGCATTTGAAAAACTCTCGACAAAAGATCTGGAGTTACCGACAGAACTTTGTATCACAGTTCCTTGGTGAAAATCTTTGTATACTTGACCTGTTTTTTTAATGTAATTTGGCATTATAGTGAGTTATGGGTGTTAATAGAATATTTTGAACTTTTGACGACTCAAAGTCCAATTTTTATTGAAAGCGGTTAAGGTGTTCTCTCTTGTTTTTCTCGGTCTGTACTGTAAGCTATGGCCTATAAAACTCGTTCTGTAACTTACAATACGGTTCTCGAACTCGGTTAGTAAGAGGTAAAATTGTCGTTTTAATTTCTTACAGCACTGGAAGGCTCACTCCTTTATACTTCAAGGCGTTCATATCTGGCAGTTGTTGCCATTGATTTTGGAACAACCTACACTGGATTTGCTTTTTCATTCATCAAAGATGAGGGAAAGGACGCCATCTTCATGAACAGAGACTGGGCGAATGAACAAGGCGCTCAAACAAGCAAAACCCCGACATGCCTGCTTCTAAAAACAGGTCTGTCATTTGACTCATTTGGTTATGACGCGATGGAAAAGTACAGCAATCTTCAAGATGAAAGAGAAGAGAAAGATTTTCTCTTTTTCAAACATTTTAAAATGACTCTTCACAATGAGGAGGTGAGAATGAGCTCCACTGATCAGTTTCAAAGATAAATTATAAAGACACAGACCGCACTTTCAATTGATTTTAGGCGTAATTACCTACGCGAGATGTTGGGAAAACATAAGAAAAGTTTGTCAATCACAAGCTGGATGCCAGTCTATTTCCACTGCTTTCATAAATATGATATAATTTAATTTTCTGTTGGTTAGCCGGCGCAATAAACGGTTTTTGACGAACCAGGGTGCCTGTAGTATCTCGGTGATACTTTTCACGTTCTAGAACAGAAGAGCGAGCAGACAAAAATAGCTTTGTCTTAGCTTCCAGACTTACCCCAACCGTCCGGCCCGATAGTTGTTACTTGAAAGAATGATGTTTTCTTTTTTTTATTTTTTTTTTTTTAAATATTAAACATATCGTATTATCACATTTATTCCGACAAACACGTTTACAAAATGCTTATTAATACCAGCGTAAGAAGCGCTTTCTCGACCTTAGCCCTGACTATAAGTCCACCATAGCTGTCAGGTTCAACCATAAACTCGCTCATCTTGAAGGACTTTGTCATGGCGAAAGCATTGGTATAAAATTTCAATTCCGTCATCTTTAATCGTATCATCTAAAGTTTCTTAGAATCTCTTCTTTGTTTAGGCGATTGCAAAAAGATATGACGACATATTTTCCCTTAAACGGTGGGTTCATTCTCTCCTAGAGTCTTGACAGTACGACTCTAATAGAAGCAGCCAACGGACAACCTGTCAAGGCCAAGACAGTGTTTACAAGGTCCATTACATTTCTCAAAGACGAAGCCATCAAAGTAATTTGTCAGCGGACTGGAGATGATCATTTCAGTCCAGACGATGTCCAATGGGTTCTAACTGTTCCGGCAATATGGACTCCAGGCGCAAAGCAGTTTATGAGAGAAGCAGCTTATCAGGTAATGTTAAAATATCATGTTTTATCCAGTTCGAAATGAATGCCTCCAGATCTTGAATCTGGGTGTGCCCACAACTTTATATGAAGTCTGTTTAGGTGTGCTAATCTTATGGCAAACATAGTCGTAACATTTAAGAGAGTGTCTCTGTAAGAACGGTCCGGTCGATTTTGCTTGAGACACGGATTTCGCTCGTTTCTCGTGTGTTGTAAGACATTCATGTACCTATACTAAAATCACAATCAGTTTGATCGGATCTCTTTATTTTTCAGAGTTTTAGGGAAATTAAATTTCACTCGAGCGAAGGCTTGTCGTGACACTTTTCAAGACTTTAATTTCATACAACTTTGGAGGACAATTTACAAAAAACTACGGAACTCAGCAAAAAACAAATACCACAGCCATGTATATTAACTCTATCTTATCTATCGAGGCGACTTTCGTAACCATCACGTGTCAATCAAGGAAACAGGAAGACTTGAACGACACCTTATCGGTTCGCCTAAATCACACACGCCAAAACCGATCAAATTCAAGGTAAATTTTTGAAAAAGTGAGGCGTTCTTAACTGATCCAACTAACATAGCTAGGAAGTAGGTGCCATAGAAAAGGTAACTACAGAAAAAAACTTTGCGGCCCGACCTTTACGAGAACTTTATAACTCCGTGAACCTACCTAATTTTCGGCAATCTCCAAGTTTGGCCGCCATTTCGAGGGACTTGTCAACATGAAGCGTAACCGATATAAATCAAGCAGGTAGATTTAAAACCGTCAGAAATACAT